CCTGGGTAAGCTGCGTGTGGGACTCATGGCATGGACGGGGCTGGGAGAAGAAAGACAGCAGGGATGCACAGGCATGCATGTATGCACGCACCTCTCAACGCATGCATGTTGCGCTGCATGGGCTCGACGGCGCAGGCAAAGCGAACTTCCGTTATTCCCTCTCAGCTACCACCCCCTTTTGTTCCCTCTCAGCTACCACCCCCTCTTTCAACCCTCCTCTTCCTCCCTCCATTCCTTGCCCTGAACCCCAGACGCCTTACCCCGCCTCCCTCAACTCGCACCTACCCGCTCCCCGCCAACCTCCTGCCTCCCCCCTCCTCCTCGTCCACTCCACTCCACCACTCCCCCAGGCTGGCTCTTCATGACCCTCACATTCGGAGTGGGCACCGTCACCGGCCTCTTCGTGCCCTCCCTCCTCGTGGGCGCAGCGGGCGGCAGGCTGGCCGGCCGGGCAGTGCGCGCCACCGCCCTGGCCGCGGGCCTCGCTCCCGACCCCGCTGACATTGCCGCCGCCGCCGGCAGCAGCAGCACCCTCCCACGTGCGGCGGTTCATGTGTGTCTGAGCGGCTATGCGGTGGTGGGTGCGGGTGCGGTGCTGGGCGGCGTGAGTCGCATGCTGCTGTGCAACACGGTGCTGGTGATGGAGACGGCGGGTGCGGGGGACCTGGTGGTGCCGCTGGCGGTGGCGACATTCGTGGCCAAGGTGGGATGCAGGAGTGGTGGTGTTGACAAGGGGTCGCGAGGAGAAAGATGGTATGCGGGGAGCACGAGCCCGGTAGACTCAGGAGGTTGAGCCTGGATCGATATACCGGTAGTGTGTATTCGGCCTTTCTTGCAGGCCAGCAGGACAGCGCTGCCTCACTCCTCCTCCATCCCCCTGCCCCCCTTCCTGCTGCCCCCCTTGATGACGTCTTACCACACGGTCAGTTACCGGTAGTTGTTTCCTCTTCCCCCTCCTGCTGCCTCCACAGGTGGTAGCGGACGCTCTGGCTCCCCGCAGCATCTTCGACGAGGCCATCCACCGCGCCGGCTACCCCTACCTGCCGCCCGAGCCGCCCGACCTGACCGCCACACAGCTGGCGCAGGCGCTCACGGCGGGGGACGTGTGCAGCCGGCGGCTGGTGAGCCTGCCGACGCGGCTGCGGCTGGGGGAGCTGGTGGAGGCGCTGAGGAGGTGGGAGCGGGAGGAGGGGAGAGGAGAGGAGGAGGGGAGAGGAAGGGAAGAAGGAGGAGAGTGGGAGGGGAGAGGGAGGAGAGAGGGAGGAGAGAGGGAGGAGAGAGGGAGGAGAGAGGGAGGAGAGAGGGAGGAGAGAGGGAGGAGAGAGGGAGGAGAGAGGGAGGAGGAGAGAGGGCGGAGAGAGGGAGGAGGAGAGAGGGAGGAGGAGAGAGGGAGGAGGAGAGAGGGAGGAGAGAGGGAGGAGGAGAGAGGGAGGAGGAGAGAGGGAGGAGAGAGGGAGGAGGAGAGGGAAAAAGAGAGGGAAGGAGGGAGGGCGGAAGATGGAACGTGTATTGTTGTGTTTTGGGATCCAACGCTGTATACGTGGCAACCGTACCGGCCGTTGAAGGACCAACCGTCCTGGTACCGGTACGTGCCCGTGTTGACCGCATGCCCTCTTGCATGCCCTCTTGCATCTCCTGGCGGGACCAGCAGGCACCCAAACTTCTCCACGTTCCCCCTGACGGAGGCGCCGGGACCCGCAGCTGTACGGCAGCTGCACTCCAATGCCGCAGCACCAACGACGGGGGCGGCGGCGTCGGCGGTGGCACCGGTAGCTGAGGAAGACACTACCAGACAGCGGACAGTGGACCAGGCTGCTGCTGACACCACACCCTGCCGTACCCATGTAACCGCCGGCAACCCATGTACGACTGACGTCGCCGGGGGTACGACGACGCCGCTGTCACAAAACTCACAATACCCGCCGTACGAGCCACCACCAAGCCGTACAACCTACCAATCCGCGTTCGCCTCCACCACAGCAGCTGCTTCGGCGATGACGGTGGTCCCCCACTGCTGCGCTGCCGCGAACCGCCTGAATGGCAGCTGTAGCACTGGTGCTCACGCCGCCTCGGCTGCCGACAGCGGCAGCAGCAGCGGCAGCAGCAACCGCGTAGGGGATACAGCTGCAGCGGCTGCAGCGGCAGCAGGAGGAGGAGGACGAGGAGGCGGAGCCGTCATCGTGGGTGTGATCAGTCGCGCGGTGCTGTTGAAGCTGATTGAGATGCGGGAGCAGTGGGGCGGGGGGCAGCTGGGGAGCCAGCCAGGTGTCGTCCCCACCTCCTCCTCCCCGCCTAGCAGCCCCCGGGCTGAGGATAGCACCGCTCGTACCGCCAACACCTCGCCCTTCCACAAGCGGCGCTGGTTTTGCTCACCCTTCCTACACGCACTTTCCGCTCTCTCCGCCCGCTTTCTCCAGCCTTCCACCTCCCTTGACACCCTCCACACCACCCTTGACGTCTCCGCCACCCACAAACCCACCTACGCCAACCCCGCCAGTCCCCGTCCGCCCGCTGCGACCGCATCCCCCGCCGCTGCCCCTCCCCCTCCTCCCAACCCCCCTACGGAGCCCGCTGCATGGCACCGCCGCCGGGCCGTGATGAGTCGCGGACGAGCTGTCCGGCTGCTAGAGGCGCTGGACCCGCACCCCGTGAAGGCACCCCAGGGGCCCCAAGGGGAGGAGCGGCTGTTTGCGCGGCTGGGGCAGGAGGATCTGCAGACGTGCATGGACCTTACGCACTACATGCAGGTGGGGTGGCGAGGGCAGTTTTCCTGCGCCTGGTTCAGGATTTTGCAGCGGCAAACCACCTTCAGCATACCTTACTTTGGATCTTTGTTACAAGTATGTAGCTCTACCACTGCCCCCAAGCCCAACCCTCGCATGCACCACTCTCCTTGCTCTCATGAAGGGTCCCATGCCGTTTACTCTTTCCTCCTTCCTCCCTGGCCTCCCGCTTGCCCCACCGCCTTCCGCTGCTGCTGCTACTGCTGCTGCCGTACGCCACACGTCAGCGAGTGCCGTACGTGGTGCCCTCCAGCGCCTCCCTGGCCGCCACCTACCGCCTCTTCCGCGGGCTGGGTCTTCACCACTTGTTGGTTACGGAGCCGCACATCCCCATCGTCGGACTCATCACGCGCACCGACATAGGGCCCGACAACGCCTACCGTGTGGCATACAGGCTAGCGGAGCAGGAGCAACAGCAGCTGCAGGAGGTGCTAGGACAGGCACAACGGCAACAAGAGGAAGAGGAGCAACAACAGAATCGGGGTGCCGTACAGCAGCATCGGGGTGCAGCGAATACAGCTAAACTGTACGGCATCGTGTACGACAATGGTGTTAACGACGCAGTTCCTGGTAGAGATGCGCCTGTTGACGTCGGGGCCTTCTTGTCGTACAGCAATGCCGTCGCATTGGGCGGAGATGACAGCGGGCGCATGGATGGGCCGTACATCACGAACTCCACGGCTTCGTCGTTTCCCGGTTGCTATGATGGCGGTGGCCTGGGGCCCCTCCCAGCTGAGGAGGACATGTGCAGCAATCCAATGCTGCAGCCCCCTCCCCGTAATGCGCCCCAGTTAAGTCTAGCCACCACCACCACCACCACCACCTCCACCAACGCCAACGCCACCAGCGGCAGCAGCGGTCCCTGTCGGCTGCAGGACCCGGACCACCTGCCAGCCATGCAGCTCGGTGGCTGCGGCAGTGGCGCCGGGGCAGCTCCCCAGCCTTCACACCCTGCCTTATCGCGGACTGCATCCGGATCGTCCGCAGCAGATGCGGAGGGAGAGCCTGTACCTGTATCCCCCAGCAGCTGGGGCCTGCAACACCAGAATGAGGTTTCGCAGACGGCGGCGCGGGCTACAGGCCCTACAGCGCATGCTGGAGGGGATCTCACACAATCCGAAACCGTACGACATGGACTGCGACGGAGACAGGTGCTACACGGTTGGGATAGCAGCGGAAGAGGCGGAGAAGCGCCTTCACAGCTGCCGACGCCGCGTCCAGCGTTGCCCGTCTCCATGCCGTACAGTAGCCTATTGTACGGCAACGCCGGCAGCAGAGACCGCACCGCCGTACCACGGAAGGTCTCAGCGGATGTGCAGATCGCGCCGCCACGACCGCCACGCCCCTCGGTTTCCTCGCCCCGGGCAGCTCCGGAAGCTGCTACTGGTAAGCAGCGGCTTGCTCGTGGTTCCCTCCCGGCTGCCGTGCCTCCCGGAGCCAGCACAAGGCCGCCGCCGCCGTCAATTTTGCCTGCTGCTGGAGTTGTGTCTTCTACTGCTGCTGCTGCGATGACGGCGCCCCCAGCCGCAGTCAAGGATAGCAGCAGTCCTCGTCATCAACAACACCAACATGATGAGGGCCACCGGGAAGTAGGTGACGTGGAAGCTCCGGTTGTTGCTGATGGTGTTGTTGTACGGCAGCAAGGCAGGGAGGCCCTACTTGCCGTACCGTCAGCCGTACCCACGCCTGCGGTGGGGCCGCCGGCTGCAGCTGCGGCCGCAGCTGTCTCAACAACAGCAGCAGCAGCAGCAGCAGGGTCTAAGGCCCCCTGGGCACATGCGATGCTGCTGCCGCCGCCGGCGCCGGAGGACTTGCTTGCCGCCACATTTCCAACGTCGCCACCGCCGCCAGTGCAGGCGACAATACCGGTACCAGCACGGTCGGCAGGAGATACAACTGCTGAGGCGGCTGTCTCGCGGGATGGTGACATGGGGGAGTGGGGAGCATAGGGCACGTTGGGGTTGTGGCACTAGTTGGCCAAACCAGCGCTGGGGCAGCGAACCCTGGGCGGCAGCTGAGGGCCAGCGAACCCTGGGCGGCAGCTGAGGCCGCGCGGTTAGGTGTCTGGAGGGAAGGGGCCTCCAGCAGCACCATTCCAGCATTGGTGGTGCTGGCCAGCAGGGACGCCCTGGTTGGACGTCTTTGGGGCGGTGGTTATGCGGATATGACGGTGGGTGGCTGAGTGTTGTAGCTGTTGTGTCGGACTACGGTAGTGTTCTTAACGTAAGGTTACAAACGCCGCGTTTGGCGTTTGTAACTTGTAAGCCATTCTTGAACATCGTCTGGAAACGGCGCCGCCTGGACTTAGGTGTTGGAACACCACACTGCTAACCACCCCTGCCTTCCAAATCCGGCCATCTCTGCAGAACAAACAAGCCATAACGCCGCGCAAGCAACCTGAAGCTTTGCTGAGTTGCTCGTTCGCAGAGCTCCATGCTGCACCACACTCTCAACCACCCAGCCAACCCTGGCCTGCCCAACTCCACTCCACTGCACTGCACTCCTGCTGCTAAACACAAGTCCTCGCTCATCCCAACTCTCATCCCCTTCCCCTCCTCCCCACATCGTACCGTACACAAGCCACAAACACACATTAACATCTGCACCTCCTGCACCCTTTTGGCTCACACCATTATCAACACAACAACGCCCCAAACCATGAATAGCATGCTTGTTCAACACTCTCCCCTCCACACCTCCTCCTCCAACACACACACAGTTTTCTTAACACACGCACGCAGCTCCCTCCACCCCTCCTCACAGCGTCAACTCCTCCTCCGACACGATGATCCCATCCGCATCCGCATACACCCAGTCCCCCGGCTTCACCGTGACGCCCCCGAAACACACCGGCACGTCCCGCTGCCCCGGGTCGCGCTTGGAGGACTTGAGCGGGTGCGTGCCCAGCGCCTTGACGCCCAGCGGCATGCCCGCGATGTCCGCCGAGTCGCGGATGCAGCCGTGCACGATGATGCCCGCCCAGCCGTTCTTGACGGCGGCTGCGGCAAGCATGTCGCCCAGCAGGGCGCAGCTGGGGGAGGGAGGAGGAGGAGGCGGAGGAGGAAACAAAGAACAAACAAGGAGGCGGAGGAGGAGGAGGGAAGGGAGGGGGAAGGGGAGAAGGAAAGCGCGTGGAGGAGGGAAGTACCAGTTAGAAGGGTAGGAAACCAAACAACAGAAGAGGGAGGAGGCAGTAATGGCAAGGTAGTGAACGCCCCCCCTCCTCCCCCCTGTCCCACTCACCGCAGGGATCCGCCCCCATCCACCACCAGCACGCGTCCGTTGCCTGGCTGCTCCACCGCCTGCAGGGGGGTAGGGGGGTAAAGGAGGAAAACAAGTAACTGACTGTGTGATGACTGTTAGGCGTCATCATGGGGGGGCGAGGGGTAGCAGGGGGGACGTCCCCTGAGGGCGGGGCGGGGTGATGCGAACGCCGGCAGCAGCGGGAGGGGAGTTGGGGGACAGATCGGGAGATGTCGCTTGGGGCTGAACTACGGTCAGGCGCCGTCAGCTAGCAGCCCCGGGTCGGGTGTGGCAGCCCTTGGGACGTACAGGTTGGCAGGCATGACCGTTACAATGGTTCCCTAGAAGGGAACACGGGCGATGACGTACAGGTTGGCATGCGCGCAAACGTTTGTGGCTTGATAGGACATACATCGACATATATCGGCAGGTCACCAACGCAGGTTTGAACGGGGCTAACACACCCAGGGCCACCCAGGGGCCCTATGCAGAGGCCGGCCCAGGTGAGCGTGCGGGGCTGCAGCCGCCCGCTGCGGGTTGTTGGACACTCGCCTGGCGCACGAGGGGGTTGTTCTCGAAGCACTTGATGGTGGATGCCTGGCCGCTGAAGCGCAGCTTGCCGCCAAAGTCCCTGGAAAGATGGGCAGCGTGGGGAAGGGTGACTGGGAAGGTGGTTGGGCCAAGTGGAGAAAGGGACGCCATGGCAGGCAGCCCTAGGGTGCGAGGAACGCTATCGATCCTGGGTTGCATTTTATTGCTTCTCCCGGAGGGTAAAAGGTTCCAAGCATTAAAAGGTAGGCCACCTGGCAGCAAGCACATGTCACATGGGCAGTATGAAGACCCTGGGGGCGTCACAAGGCATCCTCCAGAACGCTGGAAAAGCCATGAATTTAGGTGCCAAAGTAACGTGTGCCGCTGGGAAACCGCTTGGATCGCACCTGAACAAGTTAGGCGTTACGATTTGCAGCGACCGAGGGCATACTTGGTCGACGGGCTCTGGCATGTACTTGTCCGTCAAGTCGGCAGTTCCTTTTCGGTCAGCATCGAGTTGGCATGTTGCTCCTTGTGAAGACATCCTTCTAGTCACTGCAGGCAAGCCGATGGCGTTCCTCAGCAACGTCACCCCGAACCGTTGAGCAATAGCGTGTTGCATACCGTGATGTACTGTCTCTTAAATCGTTATTGGTGTTACAGCGATGGCACTGGCCGGGGCAAAATCATGATGTGCTGCCGGTCGCCGTGGATTCGCGCGGGACAGCCGACGCACCATGGGCAAACACGCAGCGTGTTCCCTATCCGCTCGTTTAGGTTTGTTGACCATGTTACCATCTACTTAGACAAACACTAATCGAGGAGGTGCGCAGCCCTATACTCAATTGATCTGCTTGCTCTCCCTGTAAGCCTGCGGCGAAGACATTTTTGAGCAGGGAACCGCGCTAGTTATCTGATTTGATTAACAAAAAGGCTTACTGCGGAATGTGGCTGTGAATACCCAAGAATGGATTACTCGGCTCTTTTGGAGCTCTTGCAAAACTTGAACGCTGCGGCGTCTGTGGACAGTGATGAAGTCTTACTTTACCTCCAGCAATACAAGGAGGGCTTCCTCAAGCTTTTGGACTATAAGGTTAGAGATTTCGTTTTCAGCTTGGCGCGCAGCTGCGCGGCGGCGCGCAGGGCACGTTTTCCAGCCAGCCGCTTACAGATTACCACAACTATCAACATAAAATGGTGCACTTGGCTCTGCAGGGCCCAACAGCGGAGTCGCGGCGGCAGGTGCAGCAGCGCAGGGTCACAACCAAGTACGGAGTGCAGGAGCTTGACCCGGTGCCTGACGTCCAGCATGTAAGCCCCGGCTGCGGCGTGCCTCCCAGGAGGCATTTGGGGGGAGAGAAGAAAACGGTGCCTGCAAGGGAAGCAAGTCCACCGGTTTAACTATCCCCTACGGGTTTCTTAACCCCCAACCCACCCCAGCTCATAGCTTGTCGCTTTTCGAAGCATACAACCCCCGCGACTCCGTTCTGGCACCTACTGTGATCCCGCTTTATTGCGTTTGATCACGGCATTTGATGCAGCGAAGGTGCAGATAAGAGATGGCCATGGGGTGTTTCCCCGCCTGCCCCTCACGATGCTCCTGTCCTGATGTCCCTGTCCTGATGCTCCTGTTCTGATGCTCCCGTCCTCTCAGGCTCTGCTGCTGAGCGACGAGTTGCGGCTGGATGAGGTGCTGTGCGTCGAGTACCTCACCACGGCGCTGGAGGAGGTGAGGGAGGGAGGGGAGGAAGGGAGGGAGGGAGGGGGAAACCGAATAGCTAGTTAGGGCCAAGCATATCCTTCTGGCCCAGATCCACACATCACTTCAGACCTGACCCACATCAAATCTTTGACCCACATCACCGCCCCCTCCCCCCCTCCCCACCCCTCTCCCCCAGCGCGGTGTGTTTGGTGCCGAGTACGCAGCCGGGCTGTACCTGGAGGAGCGGCAGGTGGCGCTGCGGGCGCTGTCGCGGCTGCTGGCGGAGGACGCGAGGAGCCAGCAGGGGGCGGCGCAGGGGCAGCGAACGCCGCATGCGCAGGTGGGGGGTGAGGAGGGGGGTAAAAGTAAGAAAGGGGGGAGGTAAGGGGGGGAATAAGGAAACTGACGAACATGATGATGCGCAGGTGGGAAGGGGGGAAGAGACTAGCCATGTGCCGGGGGGAGGGATGGTGGTGAGGGATAAAGGAAAGGGAGTTGAAGCAGCGAAGGGGGGGCATGGCGGTGAGAGGGAGGGATGAGCACCGTGTGTCATCAAGCAGACGGCAAGAGCCGTGTCGTAAGGGGAGGGGTTTGGCGGTAGAGTGGCGGTGGAGGACGTTCTTAACGGCATTCGAAGCATCTCCGCATCCTCCCTGCCCTGCCCTTCTTCCACCGCCCTCCTTCGTCATTGCCCTCCTTCCACTCCCTGCTCCCTGCCAACTGCTCCCCGCCACCTGCTCTCCCATCCCATGCTCTCCCATCCCACCTGCTCCCCCTCCCGCTGCAGGCCATCGCCTCGTACGTGAGCGAGCTGCTTGGGGAGAGGGACGCGGGGGGCAGGCAGGTGCTGCTGGCGCGACTGGTGGCCATACTGAGGGTAAGAAGGGGGATGGGTTCTTTGGGTCCGGTATAGAGCTGACTTCCCGAGGGAAGAACTTGTTTCGTGATCGAGCTCCCTGCCTACTCCCCTCAGACCCATGATCTACACGTCTGTTTCATGGCACCCACGACGACCCTCCTTGCCTCCTGCCGCTCCTTGCTCTCCTCGCCAACAACTCTCCAGCCTAATGCGGAATACCCATCCCTGCTTACCCCCCCACCCCTGTTAGCTCGTCAGTTGCATCGTCAATGTCTCATTACTTTTTACCCCCCTCGTTAACCAACCCCCCGCCCCCTCCCGTTCCCCCACCTTCAGGACACCTCCCTGGAACCCCGCCCCGACAGCCCCCTCCCCCTGGTGCGCGACGAGGCGGGCAACCCCGTGTCCCGCGCGCTGCTGCTGCAGCGGGAGCGGCGCGAGGCTGCCCGGTGCCTGCTGTACGGCTGCTCGCGCGACCCGCATGTGGCTCCGGGGCTGGCGGGGGAGCTGGCGGAGCTGCTGGGGGGGCTGCTCAGCAGGCTGGGGGGAACAGGTATGGGGGAGGAGGAGGAAGTCCCAATGTGTTGATGTGGGATGCGAATGAGACGGCAAGCTCCGGGGGGGGGAAGGGAGTCCGGGGGAGGAGGTGTGGGTAGAGTGACTGGTGATGGAGAGGAGGAGGAGGAAGGGAGGGAGGGAGGCATGGAAGGCCGGTTAGCGTTGTTAGGCCAAGGTCAATGGCTGCCTCCCCTTCCGTTTTCCCTCAAGCTGTCGGCTCCCAGCTGGAACCCCAACCGCCCAACCTGACTGCCCCTTCTGCCCCCGCCCCCGCCCCTGCTCCCCCCCCCCCCCTCTAGGCTCCGGCGACTTGTTCCTGGTAGAGGAGTGCCAGCTGGTGCTGCTGGCGTGCTGCAGCGTGCTGGTGCCGCATGAGGGCAGGAACTTCCAGCAGGGGGCGCTGCAGGTGGGGGGTGGGGGGGGAGGGGGGGAGGGGGGGTAAAAGAGGAAACGACTAACGAAACCATGTTGGGGAGGATTAGGATGGTGGGGGAAACGCCTGCGTGTTGCTACTGACCGGTGGGGAGCCGCTCTGGAGGTTAGCAAAGCTAGGGACCCCGAAGGCTGCAGACGTTCCCTGTCAAGACACGCCCTTCATGTCGCCGCATGGCTCCCAGCCCGCTTACCCCTCCCTCTCGTCCCACCCATCAACTGGCTTCCCCCCCACCCCAGGAGCTGGCCCAGGGCACCAGGAGCAAGGTGGAGGCGGGTAAGAGCCGGGACAGTGGCTGGGGGGCTGTGGCAGTGGAGGGGCGTGAGGGCAGTGGGAAGTATGAATTCGCTATCCCCCACCCCATTCAACCCTATGATGGAACCTTGTCGCCTGGTTCATTCGTCCCTTCATCCCCACCTGTAGTTGGCATTCCGCCTCCGCCTCTCCCTATTACCTTGCCCTAACTTGAGGTTTTCATTCCGACCGGTTTGACATCTCTCTCCCTCCCCCTCCCCCCAGTCGGCGCTGCGGGCTACAGCAGCGTGCTGCGGCTGTCGTGGGGGCTGCTGGCGGTCAGCTCGCAGGCGGCCCTGCAGGACGGAGTGGGCTGGGTGCGAGAGGCGCTCAAGGCGGGGGCGCTCACGTTCCTGCGGCAGGTGGGGGGGAGAACAAATTATATAAGTGAAACAACGAATGGTGGGTGGAGAGGTGGAGAGGAGGTGGGGCTGGTGTGCTGGCCATGCTTTTCCTCGACACGGGTGAGAGGATGAGGGGATCGTGTATGTGTGTGTGTCGCCTGTGCCCTCTGGCCCCCTCCTCCTCACCCGCTCACCTCCTTTCCCCCTCCTACCCACCTCCCCACCCCTTCCCCTCCCCCCGCCTGCGCAGGTGTTCCAGCACCCCCACTTCAAGCTGGACGAGCAGGCTCACCGGCACTCGGTGGCCGCCACGGTGCACCATGTGGTGGCGACACTGCTGCGGACGGACGCGGAGAGGACGGCAAACAGGTGGGGAGGGAGAGGGAGGAAGAGAGGAGGGAAGTGGCATGGGCAGTACGACAAGTGGGGAGGGTACTGAGACATGCCAGTCCCGCCCTGTCACGCGACGAGTGGACACGGTCCAAAAACCCGCACACAACTTTCCTCCCCCTCCGCCCCCCACCCCACTCGCAGCTTCTTCTCCCAGCTGCTGCTCCGTTCCGAGTCCGCCATCCGACCCACGGGTCACGCCGGCCACGCCGTCCTCTCCTACGTCCCCTTCCCCCCCGAGTCCCCCGAGGCTCGTCAGGACCACCTGGGCAGTGTGTTGGGGCTGCTTGCGGACTGCTTCGACGCCTTCCCCGAGCTCTACCTGAGCAATCTGGCGGATCAGGAGGCGGGGCAGCGGCCGGTGAAGGAGCTGCTGGACCGGGCCATCAACCACCCCATCATGAGGAGCTCGCCGGAGGTAAGGGGCAGGGGACGGGGAGGGGGGAGGGGGTGCAAGTTATGCCGTTGCCGTGTCGCTGACAAATCTGCCTTGTTCCCCTCTCTACTCCCCCTCTTTCCCTCCTCTTTTCCCCCCCCCCTCTCCTCTCCCCTCAGGTTCGCGTCCCCTTCCTGCAGCTGATGGCCTCCCTGGCCGGCAGCGAGCGGGGAGCGCACCTGGTGCTGCGACAGATGGAGGCCATGGCGCAGGTGCCGGGTAGGTGGGGATGCGGGGGGGGAATAGGGGGGATGCGGAGGAGAAGGAATGGAAGGAGATGGGCGGCAGGAGCAGGGCTCTGGGGAGAGAGTGAGCCGGAGGCCCTAGCCGCCTGTTCCCCTGATGCTGCTGCTGCTACTGCTGCTGCTTCACCTGCCATGCTTCTCCCCTCGCCATGCTTCTCTCCTCGCCATGCTGTTGCCTCCTCACCTCGTCACCTCTCCTTGCGCCGCTGTCCTACTCTCCTGGCGCATGCGCCCCATCCTGCCCCCCCTCCTCTCCCGCTCCCTAACCTGTGATTTCCTATGGTTTGGTCTGGTCTATCTTGACCCCCCCTTCCCACCCCTCCCGCCCCCTGCCATCCCCAGCCCTGGAGGTGCTCACCCTGCGCAAGCTCTTCCACACGGTTCTCAACTACTGCCTGCGCTTCTTCGCCACCATCAGCGAGATGCAGCGGCAGCAGCAGCTGCAGATGCAGGGGGGCATGGGGGGAGCGCTGCAGGTGGGAGGGGGGGAGAGGGGGGTTGGGGGGTTGGAGGAGGGTTGAGCCTTTTGAGTCTTTGATCGAGTTGGTAGTTCTTGAAGCCAGTGACCTCGGCGCTGCTACCTGCCTACCCCCCGCCCGCTGCTTCCCCTCCCGCTCACATCCCTGCTTTCCCCCCTTCCAGGGCGGCTCCCTGTCGCAGTACGAGGCGCTGATGAACCCGCACGAGGCGGACATCCTGGTGGCCTTCCTCAAGCTGCTCAAGTGGGAGAAGGGGGGGATGACCGGGGGGAGGGAGGGAGGGGGGGTTATTAGGGGGGGGGTAAGGAGTGACCCAACTGAGCAGCGGAGGGGAAAGGGAGGTGCATGGATGGATGGGAGGGTAGAGGGCAGCCAACAAGAACTATCCTTCCCCTGTTGCGTGCTGCTGCTGCTGCTGCTGCTTTCCACGGACCCTCTCCTACAACCCTTCCTCACCCCCCCTTCCTCAAACCCCCCTCACCCCTCCCCTCTTTCCCCCCCAGGCGTATCCTGCAGCACGGGCGCCCCGGCGAGGTGTCCTCCTTCTGGTCCGCCAGCTCAGCCGACCTGGCGCCCTCACTCAACGGATTCCCGCTGCACGAGCCGCTCTTCCAGCTCATGTGCTACCCCGTGCAGAACAACGTCAAGGTAGGGGGAGGAGGTACCGGTATGTGTATGGGGGCGGGGGAGAAGGGCGGGAAAAGGCAGGGGAGAATGGAGGGAAAAAGGGCGCGGTCAGAGATGGTAAAGGCGGGGGAGAATGGAGGGCAAAAGAGGAAACTGACGAACCTCCCCCGTCCCCCGCTTGTTGCCTTGGTTGCCATTCTCATTCAGCACAATGGGTATTCTTCTTCCCTCCCCCCTCCCCCTTCCCACCCCCCCCCAGGCTGCCCTTGACGAGGTGTTGGGTGCGCTTGCTGCCGCTCTTCCCGAGGGCGCCCCGCGGCTGCTGGAGCGGCTGCTGCAGTGCACCGTGGTGCGGCCGCAGGGGGCGGTGCTGCCGAGTGAGTTGTTTTTTGGGGGGGGCCTAAGTCCATACCATACCCTAGGGTTGGGGCACAACAATGGTGATGGGAGGCGGCAGGGTGCCACAAAAGTGTTGGTTAGCGTCCCCTTGGGGGAAGGGGAGGGGGAGGGGGAAAGGGGAAGAGGGGGTAAGGAAGTTGAGTTGAGCACTGGAAGCCCGATCTCATGGTGCATGTGAGCGGGTGTGTGGGGCGTGCAGGAAAGGGCGGTTGTGAGGTTCGATGGAGCTGAGGGTTTGTGGGGGAGCTAGGGGGGGGCACGTGCTGGTAGGCACACCACTTGCCCTTGTAGCCGGGGTTGGGCACGGGTTCCTCTCCTGCTCGTACTTCCACCCAAGTGCTGGGATTGAGAGCTACTCTCTACTCCTTCCTCCACTCTCCCCCACCTTTCCCCCCCTCCCTCGTTCTCTTTTCCCTCTCCCTCACCTCTCTCCCTCCCTCCCTCCCTCCCCCCCCCTCCGCAGCTGTTCCCCGCCTTGACATCGTGCAGCAGCTGAACGAGGTGGAGGCGCGGCGCGAGGAGTACCCGGAGACGCTGGCGCTCATCCGCCTGCTGAATGCGCTGCTGGGGCCGCTGCTGCGGGGGCCGGGGGGGCAGCAGGGGGGAGGAGGAGGAGGAGGGGTGCTGGCGGTGGCGGGAGGTGGGGGCGGCGGAGGGCTGCCGGATGGAGGGGCGGATGTGAGCAACTTTACTGTGTTTGTACAGCAGGTGAGGGGGGACGGGGGGGGAAGGAGGTATAGCAAAACCACAGGTTTGGGCAAAGCAATGGGGATTATAGAGGGAGGGCGGAGGAGGGCGGAGGAGGGTATGGCGGGTTGTTGAGCCTTGTACCTTTTGTGCGGGTTTGTAGCCCTTGAAGTCCTTCGTCTCGGCGCTGCTGCTTGCATGGAGAGGGCTACATGGCCTGTTCCTATCCCTGTTCCTTCCCTTGTTTTCCCTGTTCTCTTTCCTCTTCCCCCGCCCTGGGACCCCACCGCTTCCCTGTCTAACCCTCCCCCGTCCTCCCTCCCCTCCTCCTCCCTCCCCCACCTAACCCTCCCCCTCCCCCCCCCAGCACGTGTTGGGTCACCTGTGGAGCCGCGGCTACCGGGTGTCTAGTCAGAAGTGGGAGGTGGCGGCAGCTGCATTCACGCACTTGGAGCATGTGAGCGGGGGGGCAGGGGGCTGGGGAGGGGGGTTGAAGAGCGGGGGAGGAGGGGATGTAGTGAGCATGGAGAAATGGCCGTGTGGCAAGGCTGTGTCAGGGGGTGGAGGTCGTTTGTGGTTTTGGAGAATCACAGGGCCCACTGTCTTGCTTTCATCTCCCAGCCCCCCTGATCCTCCTCCTCCCGTCCTCATCTTGGTCATCGGCCCTCCCAGGTTCTGGACCTGGCGACCCGTGGGTCGCTCCCGCCCCCGCTCCCCGCCGGGGAAGCGGCAGCCGCGGCCAAGCACCCGCCCGGCTACCTCATCATGCACGACCTGCTAGGTAGGCCGCTTGCATGCGTTTCGACTCGTTCCTCAATGCCCGCATCTGCGGGAAATCAACCTCCTCTGCCATTCACCTCCCCACTCAACACATTGGATCTTCTTCCTTCCCCCCCTCCTTCCCCCACCCCCGCCATCCTCCTCCAGGAAACCACCGTCACTAATCCTCGCGGCTCAGTTCACTTAACCCACCCCCACCCCTCTCCTCCTCCCCCCTCCTCCCCACCCCCCCAGGCGGCGGCCCCGCCTACGCCGCTCTGCTGCACATCCTTTCCCCCGGCTACGCCTCCCTCACGGCTCTTCAGAGCCAGAGTGACGAGGTGGGTCCGCGCGAGGAGGCGGTGCTGGCAGGGCTGCGGGTGGTGAATGCGGCGCTGCGGCTGGACGTGCCGTTTGTGGAGCACCTGGCGCGGATGAATGTGAACAACAGGTGGGGGGTTGGGGGAGGCGAGGGTTAAGCGGGAGGAATGGGCAGGAGGGAGGAGGGAGCTAGGCAACTGGGTGACAAGGGCACGTCATGGGTGCCATTACATGGGTGCCGGGACGGGGGGCTGGGAACAGCCCGGGGAAGTTCGGGGGACATGTGAGGGTGGGATGAAGGTTGCTGCTGAGCCGGTTGGTGAGAGCCAGCACGAGGGTTGGCTTGATGTGTGTCCGCATGTGTGCTTAACCACTGCGTTGCTGTTTACGCGGGTGGCTCCGACAGCACAACAACAACCACCTCAACCAACAACAACAACAACCACCTCTACAACCACCTCACACGTACAGGTACCAGCCGCTGCACCAGAAGCTCATCTCCACGGGGGGTGTACGACAGATCGCCGTACTGCTGCAGTACGTGTGCTACCCGGACAGCGCGGAAATCCAGGTGGAGGCGATCCGGCTGGCGCTGGAGCTGTCGCAGCGGCTGCCCAATCTGGTGGAAATGCTGGCGGGAGCAGGGGCGGGAGGGGCAGGGGCGGCGGGGTTGCCGTACATGCAGGCGCCGGGGGCGGCGGCGGGAGGGCTGGTGGGTGCGGCGGTGACGGCGGCGGCGGCTTCCGCTGCGGCGGCGGATCTGGCGGATGTGCTGGGGTCGCTGAGGCGGGGCTTTGCGCAGGTGGGGTGAGGGAGGGCTGCATGGGGTGTGTTGGGGGTGGATGGCGTGGTTCGGACGTAGCACGCAGCACTGCCGTTGCCGATTAGCTGCAGCTCTTGCTCGGGGTTCTCCTCCGCCTCCTTGCAAGGCGCCCCTCACATCGACCTCCCATCCCTCCCCTTTCTCATCCGCACCGCTACCCGCTCCCCTCCCCGCTCCCCCCGACCCCGGGATTCGGGATTGGGACTGCGTTGCTGCACTTATCTATAATTTTCCCTCCACCCCAGGCCATGGCCCAGGGCGCCGCCTGCCCCAACGCGCTGGATAACCTGGATGCGCCGCCCGCCGAGAGGATGGGTGCGTGGGGATGTGCTGGGTGTAGAGGGCCCGGGCGAAAAGGCATGGGGGGAGTCGCGAGCAAGATTCCCTCTACACGTTGGTAAAGATTTTGCACATCGTATTGTCGTACCTTCGTCCGTCTTACCGCACCTTACCACCTTACCTAATCTCGCCCTTCACCTCCTGCCGGCTCCCTCCCTTCCCTCCTCCCTCCCACACCAGGCCCCTACGGCAGTTCCCCCTCCAGCGACCCGGCCGACCCACGGGTCGCTCTGGTGCTCCGGCTGCTGCTGCAGACCTCCTCCCCCGCCCTGCCCGCCCCCTCCCTGGCGCACCTGCTGCTGGGGTACGACATGGAGATGGGGCTGGGCGGGCGGCTGGAGGAGAGCCTGCTGCTGCCACACCAGGAGTACAGCTGCCTCACCATTGTGGAGCGCATGCTGACGCAGCACCAGATGAGGTGGGGGGGGGGAAGGAGTGTTTTTAGGGGAATGACGTGCGTGTGGGTGTGTGGGAACCGGAGCGGGGTGTTTGGATGGGGGGGTTTGTGGTGGAACCCTGCCCAAGCCCCATCCACTTTCCCTTGCCCTAACCTGTGAATGTGGTACGGTCTCTGCCCCCCCCCAGACTGGCTGTATCCAAGCCCAAGCTGTACAGCCAGTGCCTGTACCTGCTGCACCGGGTGGCCTCCGCGCCGGTGGGGGGGCTGCCGCTGCTGGAGTACCTCAGCCCGAAAAACAACGTAGGGAGGGGGGGGTTGTCGGGTCAGGGGGTTTGGGGCAGGGAGCTGGGTTCAAGAAGGAGAAGGGACGTGCGCGGAAAGGGGGGTCAGAACCCACAGGTCTTTTTCCCTCCTCCCCTCCGCAGCCGCTCATTCCCAACCTGCGCGGTCTCCTATCGCTGGAGCTGCCCGGAGGGGGCGGCACCGCTGCAGCGGCGGCACTGGGGGTCGCCGGTGTGCTGCCTGACGCGGGGGCGGGTGGAAGCGGGGAGGTGCGGCCGCACGAGCTGTCCGCATCGCTGCACAGCCGCTCCTGGTACCTGCGGCTCACGGTGAGTGATGTAATGTGATGTTACACTGTGGGAGCTTTATCAGGGCTGTCACAGACCATGGAGGAGGAAGGGTACTGGCTGCTGGCTGGTGTATTGAGAAAACTGGCCGCGAGTTGGAACGTACTGCAGGCAGGAACGAATGGCTAGTGTACATGGTAGGGCATGTGGGCTACCGGGCCCCCGCGCACATCGTATCAGTTGGTGTGCTGAGCCTCATTTCCCCACCACCGCACCTCCTCGTCGTACCTGCACCTTCTCCCCATGCACCCATGTTCCTTCCTCCCTCTCCCCCACCCCAGGGCCTGCTCCTGCTGCGTCTAGAGCACGAGGACTCCTCCCGCCGGCTGCTCGCGGAGCTGCTTGCGCCGCCCGGCCTGCCCGCCCTGCTGCACCCGCAGCAGCAGGAGGGAGAGGCGGCGGCGGCCCTGGCGGCGGCGCAGGCAGCAGCGGCGGGTGGCTCCGGAACCACCTCTGTGGCGGGCACCAGCACGCTGCTGGACACCATGCGGGTGGTTTCGGGGCTGGCCTTCCCGGAGCCGCGACTGGCGGACATGTCGCAGGAGCAGCGCAGGATGCTGCAGGTGGGGCGGGAAGTAGGTGGATAACAGGATAAGTGGTGGATGTAGGGCAGGTTTAGGGGTTGAGAAAGGCGGGTGGGAGGTATCGGAGAGGTAGCGCATGTTGGGGAGGGGTGGGATGAGAGCGGGAGAGCGTGTCGCACTTGGAGACGTGTTCTTGCAGATTGGGGCTGAGGGGCATCATATGTCAGATGCCTGTGCCTCCCCTCGGGTCCCAACCACTGCATGTGCCCCACCCCCTCTTACACACCCGTCTCCTGCAGGACCTCTGTGCCGGCGACACCCCCCTGGAGCAGCTGCTCACCAACCCCGCCCTCATGCAGTCTGCGGGTGTGGCCATGGTGTCGGACACCGGAGACGTCATCTTCAACTTTGACGCCCTCTTCACGCTGCTCCGAACCCGGCTCGACGCCTATGCAGCACGGGCGGGCGGCGGCGTGGGCGGCGCAGCAGACGCAGGGGCGGATGCTGCTCGCGCCGCACTGCGTTACGCGCAGCGCTATAACGCCTACGTGTTGCTCGCGGGTGCCCAGACGGCTGCGGTGGAAGCCTGGCAGCAGCTGGTGCAGGTGGTTTACACGCGGCAGTACGAGCTGCTGAACGGGCTGTTGCGCGGTACGGCAGCCGAGGCGTTGTACGACACCCTAACGGCCTCTTTGGAGACGGTTAGGGGCCTTATGGCGCGTCATGACGGGGCTGCGGAGCGGGCTGCGGGGCCGCTGTGCTCAGCTGCCCGGGTGCTACTGTCCAAGCTGCAGGTGGGTAGCGAAGCTGCACGAGGGAATGTGGTGCTGTGCGTTCCCTGAGCTGCATGCTTGCGCTCTCATGGGTGCAATTTAACCGCTGCTTGCAACTCGCAGTTCTTCCTTTCCCACGTACCTTGTTTTTCCCTTGTTCCTTGACTCTGTCCCTCTCCCTCTCATCCCTCCCATGTCCCATCCCTGCCCTCCCAACAACGCCCCCCCACAGGAGCAAGCCATCCTCCACGTCAGTCTGGGCCAGGCAGCCGACCCGCTAGTCTCCGTGCGCGTGCCCTCCCGCTGCCAGGCGCTGCTGCGTCTGCTGGTAGACCTCATCCTGCGGGCGCATGCGCGGCGCGCCCCTGCGGTGCGTCTGCAGCTGTACGCCGCCGCGCTGCAGTACCTGCAGCTGAGTCGGGGATCCAAGCTGGCCACCGCGTGTGCGCCGGCGGTGCTGGCGGCGCTGCTGCAGGGCTGGGGCAGTCCGGTGGAGGCGGTGGCGGTGCTGGATCAGGTGGGTGTGCGTGCGTGGTGGGGAGGAGGAGGTGGCGGAGGAGGAGGGTTAGGAGGATAGGGGTGCTTAACAGGGGAGGGGTGCTGGGGGCAGGGGTGCGTGCTAGGATAATGAGGCGTTGTGGATGAGGGGATGGGCTTCGGGAGCTTTTACCCGTATGTGCTGTGTACTTCCAGCCTTCCAAAGCTCTCAAACCTCATGCGCCCCCTGCTTCCCTGTCCCCCCTCCCATTGTCCCTGTTCTCCTCCTTCCCCTCACTCCCCCCTCAGTCCGAGGAGCTCATCGAGCGGGCCAACGCTGCAGTGGTCTCGGAGCACGGTCCCGCGCTCGTAGAAGCCCTGGCAGCTGACGCCCTCAGCGGCAGCGCGCCCCCACTCGGCCAGGCAGTCGCCCTGCACCTCCTGCGGGCCCTGCTTGCCGTTGACGCCAGCACCGCCTCCGCAGCAGGCACCGGTAACGCCCCCCTGGGCTCCTCCTCTGCGGGTGCGGTGGTGGCGGCGGCGGCATACCAGCAGGGGGTGCCGCAGCAGCTGCTGACTCAGCTGGCGGCGCTGTCCCCCGCAGCGCTGAGTGCGGGAGGCAAGAAGGCGCGGCGGGCGGTTCACGTGATGGAGGCGGCGCTGTCGTTGCTGGCGGGGCTGGCGGCGGCGGGGCCACCGGGGGCTCGTGCGGCGGCGGCGCAGCAGTTGTACTCGCTGAATTGCTTGACGGCGCTGAACCGGTAAGACTGGGGTGGTGGTCTGGTGTGGGGCGGGGCGGGGCTGCTTCTGCGGTTCCGGTACACTCTCATGCTTACTCGTTTGTAATGCACGTATGCACTACTGGTGCGGGTTCCCTGTCGAGCAGTCTGACACCTCGTTACCCGCCTCCGTGCTCTCGCCCCTTCTCCTCTCTCCACCGCAGGTGTGCTGCTCTGGACCTGGTTCCCGACGACCCCGCCACCTCCCTGCGCGGCGGCTCCTCCGTGTCACCCGACTCGGTCCGTTTCCGGCTGAACGCGCTGGCTGCCCCGCTGCTGCGGATGCTGCTGACGGTGCTGGCGGCGCTGCCGGACAGCGCGGCGGTGCGGGCGGATGCGGCGGCGTTTGCATCCACACACCACCAGCTGCTGTGCCGCCTCTTGGCGGATGCGGCGGGTGCAGGTGAGAGAGGGAGGGCCATGGCAGCGGAGGGAAATGGACGCGACGATCGGCGGTAACATGCATGAGTATCTGTGTCAGCTCCGACACGACGACTGAGATGATGTAAATGCAACGGGGTTCCAAATACGCGTGCTGTCAGTCTCACGCAAAATTGCAAAAATGCCTCTCTTCCAAACGCAGGCACTCGCGGCTGGGCCCCGGGCGACACGGAGCTCGAGCTGGCCGACCTGGGCCTCAGTCTGCTGGTGCGGCTGGTGCCCTCCCTGCCCGCCATGCAGCCGCTGGTCGCAGAGGGGCTCAAGGCCATGGCCTTCAAGCTCGCCTTCCAGTTCTGCTGCCTGGAGGAGCGTTCGAGCAGCCCCATCGTGCAGGCGCTGCGGTCGGCTAGGCGGGAGGCCGCCGTGGCGCGATTTGCGGCGCCGACGACGTCTTCTTCGGGCAACTCAGGTGCGATGGTGCTGGCGGCGGCTGCGCCGCCGCTGCCCACCTCATCCAAGGCGGCGGGCTCCCGCAGCGCCGCTTGTAACCGCGGCGCGCGGGTCATGTCCGTACGGTGCAGCCTGGCGAGGCTGCTACGAGACATGGCGGCGGCGGCAGTGGGGGCACCGCAGGCAGCGGCGGCGGGTACGGCAGCATCTTCGCCTCCAGGGGGGCTGCTTCGTGCGGTGGGTCCTCCGGACCACCGGGAACTGGACCCCCTGACGGGGCGGCCCACGCTGCTGCTGGTCCGCGACATGGGGCAGCAGGCGTGTTTCGATGCCGCCGCCGCGCTAGACGAGCTAACGGAGCTCCTGGCGCTGCTACGGATGCCGGACGCGCAGTTGGACGAGCAGACGGTGACGGAGCGGCTGAGGGCCTACGCGCCCGCGGGTTCCGCGACCGTGGCGGCGGCGGTGGCGGCGGGCTCGGCCGCCGGAGGCCTGGCAGCGCGGCGGCGGCTGGCGCGGCATTTCTGGGCGCTGGCGGCGACGTCGCTGGACAGGCAGTTGGCGCGTGCGCTGTTTGTGCTGGAGGCTGCGCTTAGCACCATTGCCATCCACTTCTTGCGTTGCCTGCCGCGTCCGCTGTCATCTGTTTCCTCGATGCTCTCCGCCAACGGGAGGGACGTTCCCGCCTCCAGAGGCCTTACTTCTTCCTCCATGGATACGGACGAGCTGCTGGATCAAGCGACCGCGAATCTCGATCTGGCGGCGGCGCTGCCGACGCCGACGGAGGCCGACACCCGCGCCCTCGGCAGCGAGGACGAGCTCCGCTACTTCCTGTCGCAACTTCAGGAAACATGTCGGCAAGCGGAGGAGCTGCTGACGAGGCTTGCGGACGCGTCATCGGAGGCGGCTGGAGGTGCCGCCGCTGGCTCGGCGCCCGTGCTGGGCGGTCTGGGAGCGGCTTCAGGCTTGGGTCTGGGTCTGGGTGGTTTGGGTGAGGCAGGGTACTGGGCTGCTCAGGACCCGCTGGGTACCTCGCAGCAGGTGCAGCAGCAGCCGGTGGAGGGGATTGATCTGATGGTTCGGGCGCTGAAGATGTACTGCTCTCGGAGCTGAGGAGGCGGGGTTGGGGTGAGGGGAGGGGTGTTGGGGAGGAGAGGCGACTAGCGTAGCGTGGAGGCGGGTGTGTGCAAGGCGGGCTTGCTTGCCGCTGGATCCATGGGGGTTGTTGCAGCGTCGCCATACCTGTTTTGTTTTGCAGGTTTCAGGTCTTCTGGCGGCTTGGTTTTGGGGCAAGGGGTTAGGCGGTAGGTAGTAGAGCGCTGGAGCAGCAGGTACGAGGGGCAATGGGCGGTCAGGAGCGCGTCCTTGAAAGGGACTGCTTGCTGGCGCATCGGCAGCGCTTTGGAAACCGCGAGTATGGAATTGGATTGCACCAATGGTGGACGAGCTACGAGGCACCTGGGATGGACCTTCCAGACGTTTTCGTTTCAACTTTCCTTTGCGCGGTCTCACTATCTGTAAGTGCCTGACGTGGGTGAAGCTGTCGTCATGTCATTGCATGCAACACCAAGGCCCCTGATGGGCGCATGATAGCGCCAGCGCCCCAAGCATGATGCCTCCTAGGGCTCTTGGGCTTTCGATTCAACCATTCCTCTTCCACCAAGGCCTCACACGCTACACAAATGGGCCGATCCGTGGCAGGCAGCAAGCGTAGCTGCCTCCGAACCAGGTACCCCTAACACGAACTTCAACATGTTGCGGTTGACAGTTGGTCAAGCAACGGCGAATATAACCACGCTCGGTCCAACCGTAGCGGTATGTCTCACAAACGACGGCTTTCTCGATTCGAGCTATCGGTAGGGGCCATCAGGACTATAGCCCAACTGGCTAAGCAGTTCACCAGCATACGGCATGTGCTGCCACAAAGGGAGGGGCCTAGTTCTCTTGCTAGGATCCCAACAGCATCTAATCTATTTAATGTCCCTCTTTGCGGGGCCAACATAAGTTAAAAGCCCTGACCTGCCGACACGTCAGGGCATTAGCCTCCGTTCACCATTGCTGCGCGAGCGTTAAACAACGCAACATCACAGATCACTGCTCCTATATACGCGAGCTATGTACCGAAGCACCCCTTGCTTGTCCTAACTCCTAAGCCTCGTCCTAAAAATGCACTAGGTCATATGCCACTAGTCGCCGACCCAAATCACGACGACACACAGCTATACCGCTACCGCTGTCCTAGCGGAGCAAGAGGCGCTAGCGCCCCGGGTCGTGGCAGGCCGCCGAGGGGTGCAAGGGGTGCCAGGGGCGCCAGCCGCCCTCCCAGCGGCGGCCCCAGCGGCAGCCCTGACAACGGCGCCAGCGGAGCCAGAGGGCTCAAAGAGGTACGGGGAAGCAGCGGCAGCGGCGCCTCCGGCACCTGCGGCGCGACCTCTGACGCTGGCTGCTGCTGTTCTGGATCTTGTACGGCAGCCGCTGCTTGCTGTGCGGCTGCCTGGAAGGGCGCCGGAGCTGCTGCCGCTGCTGCTGGTGGCAGTGGATCCGTAGCGGGCTTGGGGGGGGGCCCAGGAGCGGGAGCAGCAGCAGCAGGCGCGGCTGGGGCTGCAGACGCAGCAGGAGGCATTGCAGGCGGCGGTAGTGCGGGGGAAGGCGCGGGTAGAGCTGGTGGGGCCAGCGGCACCGCGGGAGGCGCTGCGGCCGCCGCCTGCGGCACAGCTGCTGCTGCTGCTGCTGCCGGTACCGTCGGTGGCACAAGTGCTGCTGCAGGCGCCGGCGCCGCAGCAAGAGCAGGCGCCGGCGCCGCTGCTACCGGTCCTGCTGCCACGGGCACCGCCGCCTGCTGCTGCTGTTGCGGCTGTTGCGGGGCCGCTGCTGCTACTGCCGCCGCATGCGCCACAGCAGGCGCCGGGCTGGCGAATCCCGCTAGCGCTGCCTGGAGCTCGTCCAAACTAATACGTGCGTCCTTGTTATGGTCGTGGTGGTAGAGGAAGGCCATGACGAACTTCTTCTCGTGCGGGTCCAGCCCAGGTATGCATGCCACCAGCTGCTGCAGTTCCGAGTGATCCAGGAATCCGTCTCCGTTTTCGTCAAAGTCTTTGAAGGTGTCTCGAATGATGGCCTCGTTCTCAGTGAGGTACTCCTGCAGGGCAGGGCGCGGGGGGGTTTGTGCAGGGGGTTGGAGAAAGGGGATTAGGAAACGCAAAGCCGTAACGCAACAGTCGTACAGCACCGGGAAAGGGCAGACACACTGTAGGCAGGCAGGCAGGCGGGGTCACACAGGCTATGCTACTGCAGGTAAGCAGATAACCAACCGGGACGTCACACGCACCTGCAGCCGCAGCACCACCTCATCGTCGTCCCGCCCCGCCCGCACCGCCTCCTGGATGCGCACGTTCTCCGGCAGCCCCGTCACGAACTCGTGTTGTGTGAGCAGGTCGTCATCCGCCTGCAGGGCAAAGGTAAGTGAAATACCATGCGGTGCGGGGGTCTGAGATATACCAGAACCACAGGTTAGGGCTAAACAATGGGGGGGGCTCAGTGAAGGGGCACCGTGGGGCAGAGCTCTCGGGGTTGGTTCGTCGTGGAGTGGGCCAACGTCAACGCGGCACAGGGCAGCAGCAGCAGTACGGTATCAGGCAGTCAGGCAAAATCCCGGGGTTGCAGGAGTGCCAACAAGGTAGCAGTCGCATCCCTGTCCTCCTCTTTCTCCGCCATGCATGCTGCAGCTGCTACCGCGTACCTCCTGGTCTGTATCCATCTGCATTAGCGCATGGAAGTGCTTGATGTCCATGGCGGTAGCATCCGGAACGTAGGCGCGCATCAGCGCCGTCAGCTCCTGCGTCGTCAGCTTGCCGTTGCGGTCGCGGTCGTGCAGCGCAAAGGCGGCCTCGGGCGTCAGGCCCCGCTGCAGCAGCGCCTGACTTAGCCGACTGAACACGTCTTGGCCGGGGACGGAGGGTGACGGGCGGGCGGCCGCTCTAGATGTCGGTGCGGCTGCTGTTGCGGCTGCTGTTGCGGCTGCGGGTGAGGGTGATGCTGGGGGTTGTGCGGGAGGGGCCGTGCTAGCGGGTTGAGGAAGTGCAGCTTGTGCAGGTGGCGGTTGAGATGCTGCTGCTGGAGGGGGGGCAGCAGCAGGGGCGGCTGCAGGTACGACAGCTGAGGGTGGCGGTTGGGGTGCGGCCTGCACAGGGACTGCTGATGATGATGATGGGGCTGCTGCTGCTACCGATGCTGGCGGCGGCTGCGCTGGAGGTTGCAATTGCTGCTGCTGCTGTGGCGGCGACGGCGCTGCATGCGCTTGGACTGCCCCCTCTATAGCCGCAGGTGCTGCCGGTGCGGGCGCCGGAGCAGCCCCTGCCGGTGCCGGCGCGTGGGCAGCTGCCAACGGCGGCGCCGTACCCACCGGTACCAGCGCCTCCGGTGGCGGCGGCCCCGGCGGCAGCGGCGCCGCTGCCGCCGCCGTCGCCGCCAGCACCTCCCCACCTCCATCCGGCGCGGTAATACCCAACATGGCGTAGCGATTGAAGTACAGGTCTATGGCGGGTATGGAGCAGGCGATGAGGCTCAGCTGCTTCGTGACCGGCTCCTCCATAAACGTGCACAGCATGTAGCCGCCTAGCGCGTCATCTGCCGCGGCAAAGGGCACCGTGGTGAGGTTCCAGAGCTCCTTGAGCAGCGCTGCACCCTCCCGGGGCGCCTCCACCACTCGGCACCCCAGCAAGTCTATTCGCCGGCCGTCCGCGGTGCCTGAGAGCGCCACGCAGCCCGACAACACGCGCCAGAACTGTGAGAGCTCGGTTTTGGTGGCGAGCTTCTCGGGAGAGGTGCCTGCGCCCTCCAACAGACCCACGGTTCCGGGCTTGTTGCCCGGGGCCACCACAGCGATGGAGAGCACCTTGTGGGGTCCTAGTGTCCGCCGCACGTAGCGAATGAGCTCCTGTGAGGGTCGATACAAGGATGTGGGGTGTGCTGTTGACGGGAGTTGAGGTGTGTTGTGGCATGAGCCTGAGGTACTGCCGAGGTAAACTGAGCTTGCTGGGTCGTGTTGTATGCCGAGTCGAGTTATCTGCTGTCGTGGTTATGCGGTACCTATGTTGGGCGTGTGCTCTACTGGTCTACGTCGACGGTGTGCCCACGTGTGTGTTAAGTGCGTGTACTGGCCGCGAGCAAGAGCGTGCTGTGATTGCCCGGGAAGATGCCTCCGTGTGTGTGTTTGTGCTTGTACGACAGCCCGCCGTACCTGCAGCGTGAAGTTCTTCCAGTCGTACACCACATAGGCCACATTGGGCAACACGGCCCTCGCCACCTGCGGTTAGGGAGGACAAGGGAGTCGGCGCCCCGGCACCTGATGAGACAACACACTTGCGCCACGGTTACAGCAGGTCAGCAGCACAAACCCCACGACCTTACTCCACGCACACGCCACCTCACCCACCCCAGCCTCCAGCCCGCCCTACTCACGCCCCCACGCCACCCACCCGGTCAGCCTGGTGCACGCGCGAGGAGATCAGCACCAGCCGCTCGTACGGCGGCTCCCCGGGCAGCCGCGGGTTTGACACCAGGGGGCTGTACGACACGGGCGGAAGGGGCGCCAGCACGATCCCCGGCGGCAACCGCTGCGGGTCCTCAACCCATGGCGGCACCGGCACCAGGCTGCCAGCTCGCGGGGGGCCCGCCGGCTGCTGGGGACCTGGAGCAGGAGGCAGATGAGGAGGGACGCGGGCGGTGATGAGAGAAAGGGTGTAGGGCATGCCAAGTGAGTCACCAGCTGTAACTGGTAATAGCTGTTGGGGGCTGCACCCCGCCCCGCCTTAGTCGGGCCGCCAGTCCCCAACGTGCTCCTCAGACCGCATGCACCGGTACCAACCTGTCATTGTCTGGCCAGGAGGCGGCGTGTTCGCCCCTCTGTTGGCGCTGCCGCGCTCCCCCAGCCCCTCCACCTGCACTCCGCGCTCCACATCGGCCGCCTGTAGGGCGACCATGTACATGCAGCAGATGATGCCGGGCCGGGAAACAGAGAGGCATGCAGAGGGAGACAGGATGGGAGGTTTTGGGTCAGTAGGTGAGGTGAGCAGGCATCACATGGCCACGGCAAACTGTTCGAGTCCATGCACCGGGGATTGAGGCTGGTGCGGGTGAGTACGAGAGCTGTACAGCTGACCATACCTTTTCAGGCAAGTTGGTTGGCACCACGGGTGCGCTCTTTGCGCGTCCGCATTTAGTGACGATTGCCCAGATGAGCACCGCAAGCAAGGCTAAGCCGACCACAATGACGAGCACGATAATCGCCCAGAGGAACGTGTGGTTGACCAGTACCGAGGCGAGTTGACGCCGCGCTGGAGGGCATACTGTTAAGTCGAAGGTATGCGTAGGGAAAAGCGGGCAACATACATGGATCAAGCCCCGCTGGGTTTGGGTTGCAACCGTCCATTTCAAATACACGTCCATATCTCAGTTGCAAACACAGCCGCCCATGGCCTTCAGGTTTTATTGGTCAAATTGATGACCAGAAAATGCAGGTGATGTGGAACCAATGCATTTCTCGAGGTAAAGCATTGCAGGACCTACACATCGACTTGCTCGACAGCGTCCCAGAGAGGGCAAGAAATCCGCCAAGTCTACTGCAGGCTTGCATATCGACAGCTCCAGATCCTGCTTCGGCAATCTCCGTCGATGATTACTGGCTTCATGGCCGCGGATGCGGAAAGCTTGACTTCATAACTAAAGACTGAGGCTGATAGTAATCATTACACCAAGCGTATAATGCCTAAACACTCTAAGGAAGTAACAAAAGGCAGCCCCTGTCTGTGCCGAAGCGTCGCGTCTCTAATGTAAAGGCGAAAATTGAACCTCTTCTTGCCACATACATTTGACATATGCCATACATTCTAGAGGTCGTGTCTCGAGGCGTCGTCTTAGAGGGACTGCGCTGTCGTTTTGGTTGACTACTTGTCCGTACATTGAAGTAGATGGAATGTGGGTCCCTGGCTGCGAAAGGCAAATGTAACAAACACCTACTAATAGCAATTGTGACTATGCTGTTGACTCACTGCTGTTCACCCTAACGTTTCGTCCGACGCTGCTTCGTGTGCACTCCTTTGTCACCCGCAATAAGGACATGACATAAACCTAGCGAGGTGGTATAGACCCCCTTAAAAACGCAACATTAATGGTTACACTGTAGGGAGCGGTTGTGGCGGGGCTTGGCCCCAAGGCCCGTTGCATTGCGCATAGAGGCCTCGCATAGGAGCTATTCATTTTGCAGCGTGGAAGTAAATGGAAGAGTCCGAGTTACAGACGACTAGCCTCAGCCCAACGAGGCCCGCGGTACCATCTGTGCCGCCTGCTAGTAGAGTTTCGGTTGCAGGAAAAGCGCCGGCGTCCACACAGCAAAAGCCGGGGCCAACTGCTAAGCAAGGTGAGGCGCCATGTTGGTCTCTTTTGGGCGCTTCTAAGACACTTGCTGCGGCCTGCCGGGTGTCTTCAGCAAAGACAGGACCTGCGCACCCAGCCATGCAACTCCCGCCCGCTCCGTGGTTACATCATATTCCATGAAGCCCCGTCAACGGCGCCACCCCTTGGTGCGCCCGGCAAACACTTTGAAGCCCCGCACCTCCCTTACTGCCTTTCCGTTTCCTTCCCGTCCGGCTGCCCCCAGATGCCCCCAAGCCTAAGACCCCCACCTCCACGCGTCCCCCGTCGGCTGGCATTTCCGCCTGGGAGGCTGAGACCTCCGTCCCCGGGGCCGACCTGCTGGCGTATCTGGGCAAGGTGCGCTCGCATGCACGTACCGCATGCGTCGTCGTGGGGAGCGTGTTTGGGGAGAAGTGTGTTCCAAGCATGCGGGTATCGAACCATCGCATGGACAACTGCGGGTCGCTGTAAGTGGTTTAGTTACCGCACGTGCTTCCAACCCGTATGGTTGCCTAACACTCGGACGACTTTGCTACCCCGCTGTGCCGCCACATTCACGATTCTTTTGCTCGCCTGCGCCACAGATTGAAACCAGCGGAGGCGGCGGCGGTGCTGACCCGCGCCTCACTATCTCCCCGCGCACCCCCGGCATCACCAGCGGTGACGGCCGGCTCACTCAGGCGCTGCTGCTGGCGCGGCAGACGGCGGAAGCAGAGCGCAGCTCCTCCGGAGAAACCGGCTCGCCGCCGGGGGATGCCTCCCCGTCCCGGCAGTCTCTGGGGGGTGGCAGCAGCAGCGGTGCAGCCAGCAGCGGGGGGCCTGCTGCTGCTGGGGCTGCAGCTGTTCCCACTGCCGTCTCCTCACCCCGACGCGGTTCAGAGTCCAACCCATCGGCGGCGGCGGCGGGAGCAGCGCGGGTGTCCGCCTCGGAGTCCAATGCAGCGGTCCAGCGCAGTGGCGGAGGCGGCCGCGCGAGCGAGGGAGGAGGCGTGGGGAGTGAGGGAGGAGGCGTTGGGAGTGAGGGAGGGCGGCCGTCGGCGCTAGCGGAAGATGCAGCAGCTGATGGGGCGGAAGCCCTGGACGACAAGGACGGCGACGTTGCTCGAGCGGCTGGTGCAGTTGTAGATGACGATGCTGGCGCAAAAGGGGCTGGTGGGGAGAGTGAAGGAGGTACAGCAGCAGGAGCAGCAGTTGCAGCAGCTGCTGTTGACGGTGGTGAGGGCGAGCGGCTGCGTGGGCTGCTGCTCAGTGACGACGAGGGGGAGGACGATGAGGAGTATCAGGACCTCATGACCGCAGATGATGACGAGCTGTTTGGAACCGGTGGCGGCGGAGGAGGAGGCGGCGGTGCAGGGGCGCGAAGGAGTGGTGGTGGCGGCGGTAAGAGCCACAGCAGCAGCTGCGGCGGGGGAGCTGCCGCTTCTTCTTCTGCGGTTGGGGGCGGTGGCGGTGGTGGTGGTCGCAGCAGTGAGGGATGCCGAGGCGGGAGTGACGACGCGAGCAGTAGCAGCACCAGCAGTCGTCGTGCACACCCCGGCTCAAGGGCCACTGTCGGTAGCACCGGTGACGGGATAGAGGGCTTGGAGGAGGAGGTATCGGCAATGCGTCGCAGTAGCATGAGCAGCGGCGGCGGAGCCGCCACCGCGACCGCCGCGGCCGCCACTGCTGCAGCGGCTGCTGCCGCCGCGCGCCGTGGCAGCAGTAGCACCGGCGGCCTCATTCGGCGGCTGAGCAGCAGCTCCCATGGTGGCACCCGTGGACGCCTCTCATCCGCCGCCTCTCCCAGGACCGCCTTCAGCGACGCTACCGTCGCCGCCGCCGCCATTGCGGGCGTCATGTTCTCCGGTTCCACCGCCTCGGGCGAGTCCGAGGGCTCCCGCAACGGTACCTCTGGCGGCGGCGAGCCCTCCACGCCGCCTCTGCTAGCCAGCAGCGGCGCCTTCTCCCTGGCTCCCTCCACCTACTCCTCCGCCGGGGAGGCCTCGCATGGTGCCGGCGGGAGCACGGGTAACGGCACGGGTACACACGAGGGGCAGGTGGAGCTGCTAAGCGAGGATGAGGAGGAGGGGGAGGCGGGCGGGAGGGGGGGTGCGGCGGCGACCACAGGGGAGCGGGCGGTGGTTGCGGCGCTGGGGGCTCGCGGCTCTGCATGCGGCGCGGTGTCCCCGGTGGAGGCGATTGCTGCGGGTGGGGGTCGGGGACGGCAGTCGTCGCTGTCCGGGGAGTCGGTTTTTGAGCAGCAGCAACAACAGCGGATGCAGCAGCAGTTGCTGCCGCCCGGGGGTGCCTACCCGCAGCAGCACCTGCAGCAGCAGCAGCTGCTGCACCAGCAGCTGTTTCCGCTGACGCCGGCGGGTCAGGGGCAACATGGGCAGCAGTACACGCCGCTGCCCACCGCGCATGTGGGTGAGGGGCTGCGACAGCACGTCCCAGTGCGGAGGATCTACACGCCTGGGTAAGCGGTGGAGTGTGGGAGTTTGGGGGTGTGTGTGGGCTCACTCTAAGCATACCGGTAAGCAGATGAGGCTGGTTTACCCATGCACGCACATTGAATTTTCCCTGAGTTCGGCTAGGTAGCTTCAGTCTCTATCAACCCATACTTATCACATGCAATACATTCTAAACTCGCCCCGCCGTGTACCGGCACCTTGCATGCTGCATGCCCCGCACAGCCAAACCAACAAGTCGCCCGTGCGTGGCTCGGGCTACGTGGTGGTGGCCGCTGCCGTACGCCCCACCTCCCCGCCCAGCCCCGCTGTGCGGAGCCCCGTGGCGCACTCCCTGACGCCGCAGCAGCACCAGCTGCTGCAACAGGTCATGCTGCACAACCTGCCGCAAGGGCAGCAGCAGCAGCACCAGCTGCCGCAGCAGCACAACCCGCAGCAGCTGCAGCACCTGCATCAGCTGCAGCAGCAACACCAGTTGGCAGGTGAGGGGGGGGGTGAGCAGGTATGCCATGCGCACGAGTGGTTTGCATGCAAAGGAGAGGAGGGTATTGTACCCTCAGCGAAATAGGCCTGGATGATTCGGCGACGGGACTTAGGTCGGGGACAGGGGGACTGCATTCCTGCTAGGGAAGAGAAAACATTACGTACGTTCCTGCCTGACATGTTGGCACTGCTCCTCGGCAATGAAGTAGCACAAAGGGGCCGTGAGAGTGCTTGAGAGGCTTGAAAAGCTGTATCAGGTAGAAGACGTTGACCGGGTTGGTAGCTGTTGAGTATCGCTGCAGGACTGAAGCATGCAAGCTCCGCATTCAAGCGCTGAAGCACGGTACCTTCGCGCGCCTGACATCCGTGTCACCTCTCCCCGCCCCGCACCAACCCACCAGGCTGCCACCGCATGTCCTCCTCCTCCATCTCCTCCATAACCGCGACAGCGGTGCCCCTCAGCCCGCATCCCCTGAGCCCGCACCCCCTGCACCCGTCACCACACCACCCCCTCCACCACCCCCAACACCAGCAGCAGCAGCAGCAGCACCCGCCAACACATCCGCAACCACAACAACAACCACAACCACCATCCCAGCAGCAGCAACAGCAACAACCACCTCAACCGCAACCAGTCCAGCAGCAATCACCCCGACAACAGCAGCCCCCGCTGTCACCCCATGGGTCCACCACGTCGCGTGCCTCCTCCGGCGGCGGTCCGCCAAGCACGGTGCAGGAAGCAGCAGAAGGCAGCCCCGACGTCAGCAGCGGCACCACCCAGGGTATTTCCTTTGGTTTCGGATCCGGCGCCTCCACACACCGACATGGAGTGGTGTCAATCGGACATGCTGTTCCCAGCAGCAGCTTCAAGAACAGCAGCAACTGGAGCGGCCAGGCGGTGGTGGCAGGCGGCGCCGGCGGACCCATGGGTCGCTTCTCGGGTGGCGGCCCCCAGCAGCACTTTGGAGCGGGAACGGTGTACCGATCCATGCCGCTGAACCAGGTGGGGTTAGGGTCCCGCGGTCGTGATTGCGAATGGGCGTATGGGCAGATGCGGGTTAGCGTGCGGGGGGAAGGTGGCGTTAGTGGTGGATGCTGCTGTTGTCGTCCTTCTAATACTAGTTCTGTCCAGTGCTACGTTTATGTGCCCCATTCCTTCTTTGCCTCTTTCCTCGATGAATACGATGATGCATGAGTCTGCCGCTCAAGCTGGCTGCCTGGCGCCATGGCAAGGAAAGGGATATAGCCTAACTAAACCCCCTTTGCTGCCCCCCCTTCACGCCCTCGCAGCACCCACCCCAACACCAGCCCCGTGTCATCCAAGCACCTCCCGCGCCGCCAACCGCTCCACATCACGCAGCCGCCACCGCCACTGCCGGGGGCCAGCTGGGTCACATGCGCGACCGATCCGGCAGCTACTCGGCACCCGCACGCCCCTCCACCTCACCCAACCGACACCGCTACAACTCCCAACAAGCAACCGCACCTGGGGGCGCCGCGGCAGCTGGCGTGGACGGTCCTTCCAGCTCGGGCCGGACCTCCTTCGGCGCCTCCAGGTCACCCAAGCGAGGCGGCATGGCGGCAGCCTCTGCAGGCCCCGGTGTCGGCATGCTCGGAGCTCTGGTTATAGGCGTTTCAGGAACGGATCCCGCCGTCACAGCCGCGGATGCTTCGGACGGCAGCAACACGGCAGTGACGAGTCCAGGCATGCACCGCGGACCCGTGGTTCCCTCCCTGCCCCAACACCACCAGCCAGTGGGCATACGTCACTGCGGCTTCAAGCATTTCGTCAATGGCAGCGTCAGCACCAGCGCCGCGGCAGCGGCGGCAATCGCCTCGCTAAACTCCCCCGCCGCCGGCGGCGGCGCCGGCGGCGGTTCCAGCGGCGGCGCTGGCGGCGGCGGCGGCACCGTCCTGTCGTACAGTTCTTCCTCCTTTTCCGCCAGCCGTCAGAAAGCCACTGAGGAGCGCATGCGGCAATCCAACCTTCTGCTGAGCAAGGTGCTGGCCGCTAACAGCTCCGCTGGGGGTGCGGCGGGGGCTGGTAGCAGCAAGGAGCCGCATGCGGCTGGGAGCCTGGTTCTGGCAGCAGCAGCAGGAGGCGGAGGCGGCATGGGATCGCATGAGGTGCCTCCAGCCTCCGGGCTGCTTTCAGGGCTGCCTCAGTTTCCTCGCAGTAGCGCTGCTGCTGCTGCTGCTGTTGAGAGCCCTGGTGAGAGAGGGGGCATGGCGGTAGCTGCGGAGGCGGCGCCCCAGCAGGCCTCTCCTGCAGACGGCGCCGCTGCCGGGGCCTGCATCAGCGGCGCCGGTGGCAATGTAACGGCCACGTCGGCGTCGTCGCTTGACCGGCGAGGTTCACTTCCCCATCTGGCGGGCTCGGGAGGAGCATCGGAGCAGTCCCCTGGGGCTGGGGTGGGAGCCGGGGCGGGGTTGGGGCCGCCGGCAGCGCATGGGGGCTACCACCTTCCCTTTTTCGGGCGGTATGGGGTTGGCAGGCTTAGCCTGGTGGCGAGTGAAGGTGGGCTACCGGCGGTGGGGGGTCAGGGGGCACTCGGTGGGGGTGTCGGGGGCCGCGGCTTGGCTTATGGGGAGCTGGCAAGGGGCACGGTTTCGCGGGTATGAGGGCGTGTGTGGCGTGGTCGAATGTGCAGAGGATTGCGGGCAGTTATCGAAGGGTTAAGAAAGAGAACTGATGAGGTGAGAACTGTGCATGTCTATTCGTATTGTGTTGACCCTGTCTGCCTTGTTACCGGTATCTTATCTCACCCACTGGCTGTGGTTATATGGTGTGGTTGGACGTTATTATCGAGGATGGAGCATGGAACGATGTGATTGATTCTCACTCTTAATACATATACGACAGAAGATGCTGTCCGTTTTTTAGCCCCTAACCCTGACGCGCAAAGGTTTTGTGTATTGCGCATAGTTTTGCCGGCGTCGGACAGCTTACACTGCGGCCAACATGATACGACTGCCATGGTTCCATGTCGCCTGTACGCGCAGTGAGAGGCGATGATCAGTAGAGGGAACAGGTGGCCATCAGTAGAGGTGATGCGATAACGCAAAGGGGTTCCAACCCTCTCCGCACCCTGGTTGTGCACCGGCGCGGCGGGTGTGGCCTTGACTGACCCTATCTAGTGTGGTAATTGATGAGGACTTGCGAGCAGTTGGGACTAGTCCCAACAGTTGGGAATAGATAAACTGAGCCGCGGAAACACTGACCCTGACCGTAGGGGCAACAGTTGGGAGCAGCTCCGATTCTGTGCATTGGGATGTGTCCCCGACCGTCATGGCTATATAGTCCTTGCGTGCCCACAAAACGGGTCAGATAGCTGTCTTCACACGTGCTGTTTGGTCTTTGGTGGCTGGGTTGGTGGTGGCTCCAGCAGCAGCATGATGTGACTTACACTGGTGTTGGCTTTTTGCGCTACAATCTCTTGTGTTCGCATGTCGTACTTGCCCCAAGAGATGTGAGACCTGGAGCACAAAATGCACGTGGGTTGCATTGGCAACGACGCCCGTGTGGGTGCGATGTGGTCTGCTATCGTCGTGTCCGTTGCCTTTTTCATCAGGGCTTTGTTGGCTTGAGTACGTAGGACTGTTGGTATCTTCGCCTGTGTTGTCGTCGCAGGCATTGTGCTTAACAGAGGTACGACAGTTTTGTGCGACAGTTGTCTTGCCGCAGGCTGTCTTGGTAAGAAGCTCTTGGGGGTGCAAATGCATCCAATTACTGTTGGCTGGGGTACTTGCCATTCCCAGTTTCCCACTCAGGCAAGCAGGGTGCTATTAATGGTTGATTGTCAGTCAGTTGGTGTGTCGAATGGTGCCCAGCTGAAAACACAGATGTGCTGTGGGCAGTAGCGCTGTTGTCAGCAGCTAGCACAGGTTTAGGCTCTGGGGTTCCCGTTTATGGAATGCGCTGGTTTCTTCCCACCAGTGAGTGCTGGCGCAGTGAATACGCTGCTGATGCATGGGGATGCGAAGGACGCTGGCGGGCCTGCCATCTGAACTTGTGGCTGTTCCCGGGAAGGGGAGTCACGCTAATGAGTCTGAGGGGAGTCACGCTTATGAGTCTGAGGGTGCTTCCAAGTCGTTGTTTGCATGGAGACGCGGTTGTTTCTGTATCTTAGCCCGTTCATCGGGCCCTTGTGAGATTTAAGGAAAGGTGCTCGTCCATGCGCGTCAGGATTTCCCGTATGCGCACTTGATATACTTAATACAGAACGAAAGGTGATCTTTGTGGTGATGCCAATTGCATGTCGGCTGGTTCTGTTAAAGGAAGAGGACATGTGGCCATACATTAAAGAAGGGCGACAGGAAATCACCCGCATAGGAAGTCCAATGCCGATGCAATGAAGACGCATAACGATGCGTTGTAAAGCAAGGGTAGGGGTTGGCAGCGGTTCTGCATTGTTATCCTTACTCGGTTCACACTGCTGATGATGAAGACCCGACCGGAGTCGTGCGGAAGTTCGCACAGAAACCATATCCTGCAACAACCTACGAGATATTCGTGTTGTGAAGGTCTTGCTTAAGGCTCCGATAACAGGAAAAATGCCGGAGGTTGCGCACTCTTGCATCGTGCGTTCGTACCAGTTACAATTACTGGGAATGTATGTAAGCAACGGCAACGCGGGCGCGATTTAAAAGTACTTTGCTTAGCGATGAACCAACAAAGCCCGCTAGTTAACCAAGGACTACTGTAAGGTAGGATACTCCACCTCAACCGTTCCTATGAGAACTTTAAAGCGTTTATGGAAGAAGCTACGTGGACGACTTAAGCCTGTAGATAGGCATTCAACGCTACACTCAGAACGCATCCATTCAGAAAGCGTTGCTTCGCCACATCGCGAGCGAGCTTACGTCGGCTCCACGGTAGATTCCTATGGCCCGGCGCCAAGCGTGACCCTATTGGCAAACAATGTTTCGGCACCATCAGCGCCGGCAAATGAAGGAGTACAGGAGGGAGGAAACCATCAGCAACACAACGCCAGCGAATCTGGCGTTTTGCACCCGCGCATCAACTCTTCTGATATCCAAACACCGGTCGCCGATAACAGCTTTGTGGATAAGTCGTATCTGCCGGACTTCCCAAGCTCGCCGCGGAGGCCATTAAGTGCGAACTTCTTCGCAGAGAGCAAAGCGCTACGCGGGTCCTCGTCCTGCGCTCCGGTACCCTCAAGTATCGCTGGGCGAGTCAGCACCGTTTCCTTGGAAACAACCCGAACAGGTCTTAGCGACGCTTCAGCCGTCGAGTATGGCGTGCCGGGCTGGGAGCGGGCCCTCACTGCCCACATCGTAGCCTGCGCCAGCCTAACCAGCGCTCCCCGAAGTCGCAGGGCATCCGATGCCCCCTACTGCCCCCACCCACACGCGCCCATGACCCTACAAGGACGACGGTCGCTGCCCTCAGCCGGACTGCAGCTACAGCCCGCCCTCTCCCACGACAACGCCCCGGCCACCCCCGTCACGCCGTACAGCGGAGACGGAGGCCCATCCACGCTAGGAAGCCCGCCCACCAACAGCTTCCCGCCCTCGCAATCCACACCCTTCCGCGCCTTCGCCACCACCACCTCCACCTTGGACGGCTCCTCGCCGTCTCCCTCACCGCCTCCCTACAAACCCCCGCACCCAACTCCCAACGCCTCCCAACTCCCACCTCGCGATCCCTCCTCACGCGCCCCCCAAATCCGGAGCTCAAACCGCCAACTGGTCGTCCTGCCTCGCGCCCTGCTCAACACGGCCGCCAAGCACGGAGCTGACCTTGACATTGAGCTCCAACGCGACGTGGTGTTTGACCACACCCGACCGCTGGGGGCGGGGCAGTTCGGCACGGTGTATGCGGGCACGTTCCGGGGCACCCCTGTCGCCATCAAGTCCCTCCGGCCGCTGCTGCAGGGTTGCAGTACATCGGATCTGGAGGTGTTCGTACAGGAGGTAACGGTGCTGAGCACGCTGCGACATGACAACGTGGTGCGGTTGCTGGGGGGCTGCTTGCAGCCGCCGGAGTTTTGCCTAGTGGAGGAGCTCTGTACGACATCCCTGGATTCGCTGTTGTACGGCAGCTCCAGCGGCAGTAGCGATGTGTGTACTGCTGCTGGTGCTGCTGCTATTGCTATCACAGGAGCAACAGCAGCAGCTACAGCAGCAGCAGCAACAGCTTCAGCAGCAGCAACAGCTTCAGCAGCAGCAACAGCTTCAGCAGCAGCAACAGCTTCAGCAGCAGCCATGAGTGAGGTTGTCAGCAACGGTCATCTATCGCTACTAGTACCGGACTGCGGCCTAGCACGGGTCTCCAGCACAACAACACCCTTCACCGCCGCACCACCACCACCACCAGCACCTCAGCCTCTTCCGCAGTCGACCCACGGGTCACAGCCGGGCTCACAAGCGTCCGGGCCGCATGCGCGCCGCTGCGCGCTGCCGCTGCACCGAGTGTTGGAGATCGCTCTTGACGTTGCGCAGGGGCTGGAGTACCTGCACAGTCGCACCCCGGCGGTGGTCCACCGGGACCTGAAGCCCTCCAACATACTGCTGGATGCTGCGGGGCGCGCCAAGATATCCGATTTTGGGCTCGCCAGGTGCGCGGGTGTGGCGCTGTTACAGTATGCTGGATCCAGCCCGGTATGCCTGTGTGTGGGTTGGGAGAACACCGCTGGAACGTACTGGAGGATGTCGGAAGGTGATGTACCGTATGTTGCCACCAAAACGCCACGATTTGGGCACACCAGCACCAGCAGATTAGAACGAGGTTGTGTCTGCAACCCGCCCTTTTCCCCTGGAAGCGACGCCAATCCAATGTGTGGATGTCGCCCATGTGTTACCGGTTACATCACGGGTCGCCCCTGCGTGTGTGTTTTAACTCGCGCAGGTTGCAGTACTCGTCGTACATCGACACCAACCGCCCCGAAACCGGGTCCATGGCGTACATGGCTCCAGGTGAATCACCCGACACTGTCTTTCTTTGTGCAGATCTTGATACAGGTGCAGATTTCTTGGAAGTCTTACACATTTCGTGTGTAGCGGGGCTAGTAGGGCCGTATGGCCAGCCGGATCAGGGTTAGGAGGGCTTTCATGAGCGCCGGCTGACCGCAGTTTTGGCAGTGTAGCACCAACATGTGTTGCCTGACCTGCTGGTTAAGATTCGCCATGTTAATATTATTGCCGCTGCTCTTGCTGCTCCCGCCGTCAGAGTGTTGGGAGCCGCAGCTGGAGGGCGGCCTGAGCGACAAGATGGACATCTTCAGCTACGGAGTGGTGCTCTGGGAGCTGGTGGCGCGGGAGCGGCCCTGGGCGGGGTACAAGATGGGCGAGTTCGTGCAAAAGGTGCGGGGCGGGGCGGGGCGGGGCAATGCCCGGGAAGGCGGGTGTGGGACGCTGGTGGAGGGGCAGAACGCAGAAGACGCCCTACAGCCCCTGTACACCTTGTGATGGGAACTTGCATGGTGGTGTATCGGACCTTGTGTGGCGGTGTTGGAAGGGCGACTCCCAACGTAAACATCATACTTGACCTGCTTTATGCTAACAAAGCATGTGTGTTTTCCTTCCTTCTCAACCGCACTCCCCCCTCCTCAGGTGGTAGCCCAGGGCGCCCGTCTCAAGGTGCCAACCGACGACAATATCTGCCCCTTCGCGCTGCGCTCCCTCATCTCCGCCTGCACCGAGCAGCGTCCCTCCGAGCGACCCAGCATCCAACACATCCTGGCAGAGCTGCGCCGCATGCTCAAATACTGCCCAAGAACTGACTCCACCTGAGGTGACCCATGGGTCGTCACGGCTGCCGGGTCGGTGTTGTGGTATGGCGGAGGAGAAGGCTTACGGGGGTCGTGCGCGGGTGGTTATGGCATGCATGAGGGTATACTGGCGTGGGTGAGTCTGGGAGTGTGTGCCACACATCGTGCCGAGGAGGCAGCGGAACGGAAAGCAGAAGCGGGGAAAGCAGAAGCTGGCTGAGGGCTATTATCGGTAGATGAGAGCGCCCGAGAGAAAGAGAAAGAGAGGAGGGAGGAGCTGATGACTGCAGGGAGGGTGCCCCGTGGCTTGCTGGTTGGCTGGCTGGCGGTGGGTAAGGTTTGCGTGCATGCGTGCAGCAGAGCTCCTGTGGGGTGTGTGGGGGGAAGCAGGATTGGGGCAGGTGTTTGGGTCTGGGAAGGGGCGGCAGGAGAGAAGGCAGTGTGCAAGTAAGCTATAAATGTGTGAGCAACACGCCGTGTAGGTGGTTGATTCCGGTTCCCAGTATCAGGCGCCGTGTCAGGGAGGCAAAGTTGAGGGGGTTTTCATGCGTGAATGATTGACTGCTACAGTGGTCCCCTAAAAAAGGGAACACGGGTGATGATGAACCCAACCCTACGCGCCTGTCAGCCTTAGCGCCGGGTGTCGACTAGGAAATTGCGCTTCCGCTTGGAGCTATCGTCTTATAGCTCCGTCTCTAAGTGTAGGTGTTCTGTTCCTTCAATTGGGATGTATAGCTTTGTAGTCATGTAAGTTCGTGTTTAAAGTAGCATGCATGCGTTGTCATGATACGTGCGGGCCCCTATCTGTTTGGGGAGGGCAGTATGCCTTGTAGCACCTTTTCCTTAATGATTTGCATGCAAAGGCATTTTGGGGCCTGCTTCTTTGGGTGCCGCGGCGCATGTACCCGGCGGTAACAGTTGGACCGCGGTGCTGCACTCGTGCAGGGTGGTTTAGCAACGGGGTAAAGAGTCTGAGCAGGTATTGCTGCTGGTGGGAAGTTTGGGGTGGAGCAAGAGGGCATCTGAGCCTCCACATTCTTGAGCACTGTACGCAGACACCTGCCGGAGCAAAGTGGCACTTTCGGCATGTTTTGCTCTTTCATTTGTGGCATCAGGCAAGTTGCATGGTCCGTTTTGAGTTTTGGCATATGGCGTGGTGGCCTTTCCCATCCTTGAGACGGCCGTGGACAAGGAGTGAACACAATAACATACCCACCGCTCATGCGCTGGTGGTTGGCTTTCCTGAATTCCAAGTGCCTGCATGTTTTGTTGGTCTTTGTGATTGTGATGAGCTACCATACGCGATAAAAGGTGTTGTGGCTATTGCTGCTTTTAAAGAAGACCGAAAGCCCGAAAGCTAAAATGGGACAAGACGGAATTTGGTAATTTTAGGTCCCTGGCCAATTGTACATTCTGGCGAGAGGTAAGCCTGACAGCTGAGCTTTGTCATAGGTTTTACGGCAACGGTAGTATTGAGTCGGAGAACGTAACCGCCACCTGTCATCTTGGCGTTGCCGCTGTTGATGCTCTGATGGGGCCTCCGGGCAGCTCTTGGATGGTGACTTTTCGACTGTTATGTTAGGAGCTTAGGACAACTGCGTGGGCGCGATTGGTTTACAACGGTTTCTAACGGTCAACGGCGTAAGGTTGGTTGTTCTTATTGGGTTTTGGGGGAGTATGCTTGCTTGCGTCCATTGCATGGGTTGAGCTTGTTGCGGAGGGTGGGCTGGGTGGTTTAATTAACCATGAAGCTCAGGCGAGGGCGGTTGGGCCTGCTACAAGATACTACTTGTGGGTAAGACGTGTAGAATGCGAAGGCTACCAGGGGGACCGGAGCTCCTGTAAGCCTGGAAGCCATGTAGACTGACGGGTTAACAGATAAGTGGTACATTCAAAGCGGGAGACATGCTGTTGCAAAACTTTACCGGTATCTATCTCCTTTCCGTTGAACTTGCCGTTGAGGTCTAGTTACAGCCGTTTTGGCGTTATCCCTGCAGTGTACCGTTGTGGTGTAGATTACTTTCCCCGCAACCGTTTCTGACGCGTGTCACTGACGAGGACGGTTGCATCCAGCAAATTGCAGTAATAAACTAATCGTCTGACGCCTCGACCTGGTGCTGACGGATGAGGGACATGGCGCCTCTCTTTCCCGTATATGCGGTTTCTGTTTTGTTTGCATGGACCATCGAGTAGTCCGGGCTACGGACTGACATTATGAGTGGTAGCAGGAGACATAGTTCGATAGTGGATACTGTCGTGCGAAGGAATTCGTACTATTGTACGAAGGCGATTGTGTTCGTCGTACGAGGGGGGTGGCAAATGACCGTTGGTTGGATTACCGTTAGTTAAGGGCAGACTGATGCTGCAGCACCCTAGTGTGGTCTTGATGGTCTACATGTTCGGCACGCACGTTGCTGAGGGTGCATGCTTTGTAAGGAGCACGTCACATGTCGCAACCGGCGGCGGTGTTGGTGTTGCAACGTGGCTCCCAAAGGAATGACGCGACACACGCCTACATGCAACCGCCAACACTACTAGTGCGATGTAGGTGTTGCTTTACCACCAACCGCCTTTCCCGAGCTTGCGGAGACCGCCTGGATGAGACAAGGACATGGACTACCCCACACCCAAAGCAACAGCCAATGCCTGCTGCGCTTCTGTAGTACCGATTCCTGCCGTTTAAGGCCTTATAAGACAGCCCAAGTCCCCGCCCTTCAGCTCTTGCACCCTGTCGCAGCGAAGTCCGTATCACCCAACCCTACCCAGACGACCACACCTAGACACGGCTGGACAGCACGCCGTCCCCGGCTCGTGTATGCAGCAGCCGCTAGTACGTGTATACAATGTAGCCTGCACCAGCTGAAACCTCGGCCTTTTCTGTTAGCAGACGTTGGGGACAGTATGCCAGACCACCCCTGTACGGATTTACCGGTACTCTACGGAAGCTTACGTGGTCAAGGGTTGCCTCGCCAAGGTCGCCAACATTAACAGCTTTTTTCTCTTGGCTTTCTGCAGGGCTATCCGTTACGTTCTCTAGTTGTAGCAGCCGTCGTTGACATAGACAGCGCGAATTCAACCTTGGTATCCTTGCAACCTGGCGATAGCTCACTGCTATTCAATTAGCCCGATAGCGGAATACGCACACGACTTTATCCTAAATACCTTTTGTCGGCTTCATATGCTGTCAAGTTGGACGGATTTGATCTTACTGTAAGCGCTGTCCACTGCACAGTGGATGGCGAGTCCATATAGGGATGGCATCGTTAAGCGCTTGAACTTCGGACCTGATATCCCAACACCGCTAAGCTTTACGTCGGGGCGGCGCGGTGGAGGATGGGCGCGAACTCCAGCTGCGCCTAGCGTGCCGAGCACTCCCGGTCCGCCGGGCAGCGCACATTCAGGCGTTGTACGGTACGGGCTACCTGAAGGCAAGTCGATTTCCCTGGTTTCCCCGCAAAAACACAGACAATGTCCGTTGACCAACGCAATCATCATCACGTGTGTTCAGAGGAACTCCGTGGCACGGAGCGCCGCACCGTCAGCCAATCCCGCTCGTACCGCATCCCCAGCGACGACGAATGCGACACCGATGACGATGCGACGAGCGCTGCAGCTCCGGTGCCGGCGGTCAGCCGACCGGACGCCGTGGAGGAGCAGCGGCGGCTCCTGCAGCAGCAGATGGAGGCGTCCCTCGAGGCAAGCAGCAGCTAGCACCCTGTTATCCCGGGTAGCCCTCTGTCGTGTGATGGAGCTTTCGGGCTTCTCCTGGGTAGTTCGGGGCCGTGTGGGAGGGCTGCTGCGAGTGGGAGCTAGTGTGGGAGACCCACCACACCCTGGTAGCGGGGTGTCGGCTCTACAGTGCGCGCGGGGAGAACCCTCAGCAGCTGAACCCCCCCTCCTTGTCACCCTCGCCCCCTCCCTCCTCCCCGCAGACGTTGAAGCAGAGCAAGCAGGAGTCCTGGCGGGAGCGGCTGGCGGAGGTGGAGGCGCAGCTCTCCGCCAAGCTGAGCCTGGTGGCCACAGCGGCACAGCGGAAGCAGGTACGGCAACAGAGACTGCTCCGCGCTACATGCATGCTCGGCATGCAGCTGTGCCCCACGTTATCCTTGATGAGCCGAACCCCTCCTCTTTACCCCTCCGCCATGCCCTCATTTCCCCCCCACCCCACCCCACCCAACACCCAGGACGACCTCCTCCGCGGGGACCAGGAGCAGCTCCGGCAGCAGCAGGCTCGGCGGCAGGAGGTGCTGCAGCGGGTGAGCCGCTCGCATGCCACCGAGGCGAGCATGCAGGAGCAGCAGGTGCGGAGGCGGCGGTTAGGTAACCTGAGCCGCGGGAACACTGACCCTGACCGTAGAATACTGGAGGATGATGGGGGGGAGAAGGAACACATAATTGTTACCGTACATTAGGCTGGATAGCCCTGGTCATCCAGGCTGCGTGCACCCTTCCTTCCGCACCCTTCGTCACGTGAGGAGGACCTGACAGCCGGCATGTGCCCCGTGCAGATCAAGCGGCTCATGGAGCAGCGCGAGGAGGAGCGGCGGAAGGAGGAGGAGCGCCGGCGGCGAGAGCGGGAGGAGGAGGAGCGGCGGCGGGAGCGCGAGAGGCAGGAGGCCGAGAAGGAGCGGCAGCGGAAGGAGGAGGAGGAGAGGCAGGCGCGGGAGCGAAAGGCTAAAGAGGTGGGACCCGCGTGCCACGTGCCGCCATTTGGAAGAAAACACAGCTCATCGCTGCGTGTCCAACGTTGTTGCATGTTGCACTTCACATGTCAGGGCATTGCGGTTGCCGTTGGGCCGTTTTACCTTGCGAAGAGTGTGTTCCGTCTCCCAAACGACACTGCATACGCCGTATACACGCCTTCCTCCGTTACGCTTGTCGCAACGTTCCCATCGGTACCTCGGCCGTCATGTGCATAACCCCCGACACTGTGTCGTTGTGTAGGAGGCTGACAAGGAGGCTGAGCGGGTACGGCAGACAGCGGAAGAGGAAGCCGACAAGCAGCGTCAGGAGGCGGAAGCCAAGAGCAAGAAGGCCGCTGCTGCTACTGGTGCTGGGGCGCACCCCTGTCTGCGGGTGTCCCCCGCGGCTCAGGAGCAGGCGGCGCAGCTTGCTGCTCGGCTGGCGGAGGCGCAAGCGGCGCTGCAGCCGCTGTTGGAGGATGAGGGCGCCAAGAAGCAGCGGCGCGACATTGAGAAGAAGATGACGGTGCATGTGCAGCAGATCTGCGGGACGCAAAACCAGGTGAGGCGGGGCGGGTGGGTGTGCGGGGTTGGGGGATGATGAGTACCGGTATAGCCGCGGCGGATGCGAGCGTGGGTTGGGGCTGTCTGCTTGGTGGTGGGGGTGGTTACCATGATTTGGTGGGGGCCCGGAGGGCTGCAATGCAGGTCATTGTAAGGTGTGTCTGGTGTATTGTTCTACCCTGGAAACGTGTCCTGGTTTGCAAACCTGGCCGTTTTACAGCATCCCTCCACCGTCGCCCCCCCCTGTGTAGGTCATGGTGAAGTGCCAGGACGTGTACACGCTGTTGAACGGGCTGCAGGGCGTGTGGCGCACCTTTGGGGTGATGACGCTGTGTCGCAAGATCATCAGCCAACATGGGCTGGTGCAGGTGGGGAGGGCGGAGAGGGGGAGGAGCAGGAAAGGAGGAGGAGGAGGAAAAGGAGGAAACAGATGAGCTGTATGACATGTAGGCTTCACCATGGGGTGCAAGAAACATGGTAGCCGGCCCAAAGGAGGACGACAGCAGAAGCAGGTCTACTGGCTGCTTGCTGCTGCAGGAGCTGCTGCTGAGAACCTGACATCTCGTTAGCGTCATTAGGCGTGATGAACACCGGCATCTTAGAGAAGCCCAGCACTAGGCACCTTACATACCATGCATCACTTCTGAACCCCTTCCTGCGCCTCGCACCCCAACGCCCTCTCTACCCGCAATTTCAACCGCTAACCGACCAACTCAACCCCAACTCCCTCCCTCTCCACCCCCTCTTCCTCTCCAGCAAAACAACAAGGCCGCCTTCCCGCTCGCTCTGGTGGTGGTCAAGGTGTCCCAGGTGGTTCCGGAGCTCATGGAGCTGCTGCTGGCGCTGCTGCACAAGGCCTGCCCGCTTGCCGTACCCAGGGCGTACGTGCACGACCCGGCCCGCATCACCAACAATGCGTACTACAGGGGCATGGGTTTCGAGGAGCTGGACGACCCATCCGCGCCCGCCGGCAAGGTGTTTGAGAGCCCCGATGAGTACGCCAGTCGGCTGGAGGGGCTGATGCTGCTGTACGGCGCCATCATGCAGGTGTGTGTCGTACGAGCTGGGCTTTGGGGGGGCTGGGGCACCTCCCACGTTTCCATGTACCGGTGGCTCTTGATTGATTACCAAGCTTGATGCCGTTTCGCTTACTTCACCTCACAAACGACCCTTGAGTGGCTCCTTCCTGGGGTACAGTTCTTGGTATACAATCGGTTTCCGACCCCCCCTGCCTAAACCGCCAAAGGCAGCCGCCCTCTCAACCAGTCTACTTACTGCTGCCGCTATCGTTGCGCTGGGTGCTTTCCTGTTGCTGATGCTTCCTTCCTTCGTCAAAACACCGTAACCACCACCCAACCGCAACCGCTTACCGGCATCATCACAGGCTGACGACCCCAACCGTCACGGCGTTGCCCACGCCTGGTCCTACCTGGCCCGCTGCCTCAACCACCTGCCGCCCGACCGCTACTCGGCCAAGGCGCTCATCGCAGTGCTGCGGGTGGCGGGATACGCGCTGCACGTCAGGTGGGGCAGAGCCGGGGGGGTGGGGGGGATAAAAAATAAGGAGACACTGACGAGAGGGGGTGGGGTGCAGGGGGTGATACTGGTAAACATGCAATGGAACACAGCAATCAGGGGTACACAGCTAAAAGTGCAGTTGCAGCACCGGAATGCAGGGAAGCAACCCGAGCGCTGTCCAAACAAAAAGACTCTAACCCAGCAGACGGATCCAAGTGCTAGCTAGCTAGGTTCGCATGCCTGCATGCACTTCGGTGGAAACTGACGAAACCGACTGGCGCGGAGGGGGGGAGGGGAATAGCCTGTGTGTTGAATGAGAAAGGCAAACCAGACGACAAGCGCGGGGAGGGGGGAAGCGGAGCGGGCTGTTGCCTAGCATGCCCGGGTGGAGGCGGGTGCCGTTGGGCGGATATGGATGGGCGAGAAGTCTGACTTCTCCCAACTCTTGTGTCGCTGCGCCTGCTCCTGCCTGCCCATCCGCGTGCCTCCTGCCACCCCTCAGGTCTCGCCATTGTCTTGCCTCACTTGCAATTTGGTTTCTCTTCCTCTTCCTGTTCTCTCGACTGTTTTCAGGTATCGCGGGCAGTTCACCAAGCTGCTGGCCGCCATGCAGCGGGAGTACCTGCCAGGGCTGCGGGCGACTGCGGGGGACGACATTGGCGCGCTGGCTACCGTGCTGGAGAGCTACGTGACGGACGGGGTGTTCCGGCGGCCGCCCGAGGGACGCAACATGCCCACGTTTGATATCTCGTCCATGGAGGGCAACCGCGCTTGAGGAGGGATGGAGATGGAGGGATGGGCTAGGAAGGGGCTTGAGAGGAGGTGCGAGAGCGTGATGTTTGTTGTGACTGGGCGGAAGGAGCTTTGAGTTGGTAGAATTAGAGGAAGCGAAGTAGGACTAGGGGTGGTTTGTGGTGTTTGATGGATGTTGCTGTCGGAGGATGAGGAAACAGACCGGCAGGGCAGGGACGACAGGAAGGTGACGAATGGTCCGCGGTTCTTAACAGCCGATTATCGAGGGCTCCTGCTAAAAAGACGGTGCTATTAGACCTTGGACAACTCGTCGAGAACGAGGGGCGTGCTCAACGAAGGACGCGAGCCGTTGGCCCCAGTATCTGTGGGTCGGTCTTCACCTTCGTTCTCATTCGACATGTTGACGCAACAGGGTGTTCTTCGGGGCTCTGGTGGCGGTAACTTGGCAAGGGCAATTTCAATTGGTCGTTGGTCAGCAAACCAGCGTTGCGTTGGAATTATCGGTAAACGGAGATTGTCCTGGCTCTTTACTGAAATTCAAAATCTGTACAATGTCTCGGTTGACGCACATCTGATCCAAAAGCGGACATCAATGCGGTTTGTTCAAACTCATGTGCGAGCAACGACATGACGTCCATACCAAACTATTACAAAGCATAAAATAACCTTTTCTTATACAAAATACTTCATCCGCCTCCTACGACGTGAGGATTTGCCTATTCCAGCTTTTGCGGGCAACTCTGACTATCAAAACGGCATCTAAACGCCTTGACGCCCTGACCTAAAATGTAAGATTCTTACGTAGGGTAAAACAGTAAGTAATACCTTTAGGAAAGTGTCACACATAGGCAGCGGCTATCGTAAATGGATGCTACCGAGGAGCGCAGCCCAAAGAGGGCCAGGAAAGAGGAGGCACCTGAAGGCTCAGGCGAAGGATGCGTTGGTGGCGAGCCGCCCAGGGTACGCCTCGGTGGTCTCGCGTTGACCCCTCTCGTTGGCGTTCGTACCTTGCGCGGAAAGAAGCCGTGGTGGTGATGACCAGAAAGCACTGCGCACCGCTTATGGTCGCTTGCAATCACTCCCAAGCCCGTCCCCTTGCCCTCTTTGAACTGCCTGCGCTGCAGCGCGCATAGCGGTGTGCTGCCTGCCACGGTCCCCCACCCTCCCCTTTGGAGCCACTAACCGCTTTACAGCTGGAGACAGCTGCTCTTGCGCTACATGTTGACTCGCATGCGGTTCCTTCCATGCGAGACGAGCTTTCCTGCGCCCTCCTGCCTTCCCTCTTGTCCCTACGCACTGCTCAGCCACACCAGCTCTCCAGACTACCCCCTACCCTTGCCTGCCCCGCTGCCTTCCCTCTCCCACATGCCCCCTCCTCGTCCTCCTCTCCCCCTCCCCGTGTTTACCACACTTTGGAATTTCTTTTTTCCCCGTGTTTACCACTATCGCACCACACATTGGAACTTCTTCTTTTCTCCCTCTCCCCGTCCTTCTTCCATACCTCCCTTCCTCTCCCCCCTGTCCCCCGCTCCCCGTCCTCCCCCCCTCCCACCCAGGTGCCCTGGTTGCTGGGGGAGCGCACGGCGCTGCGGCAGGCCTTCATCATGTTCGGAGTGGGGCGCTGGAAGGAGGTGAGGGCGGCGCGGCAGGCTGCAGTGTGATGTGGCTTGTTGCCGTGTTGGAGCGGCCCTACAGACTGTGAATAGCGGCGGCCTTGTGGTCTTGGTTCTCCCCGGCTTTCATCAACACGTCATCGGTGCTGGTGCTGGTGCTGTTAACTGGATGCGGCTTGGATGCACGGCACCGCCCAGCCGCATTCCGTGTTTCGCTCCACGGCTCTAGCGCCGCCAGTGTTCAAATGGCTTCTCCACTGCCTCATTCACTGCCGCAGCGCGATATTCTTATCGCTACGCGTTGTCCTTCCCCTCCTCCGTCTGGCCCCCTGTCTGGCCCCCCTCAGATCCACCTGGCCTTCTGCCGGCTGAACAAGTGCAAGCACGTGCGTACGGCAGGCGAGGTGGAGCGGGCCGTGTGGCACCTGCTGCAGGTGGGTGGGAGCGAGACATGGGGTTCCAGTGCTCCACTCAGGGCATCTTACAACCCCGGCGGCTTTAGCGGGGGTGTTACCAATCCGGCAATCCCTGGTCAGCGCGATGTGGGTCATCTCGGCACCAGCCTCCTTCCCCACCTTTTCAGGTTTTGTGTGTCCCATGCGTGCCCCATTGGTGTCCGCTCCACCCTCCCCGGCCCTGTGCACCATGTCTGACTATACGCAATCCTATCATCCAGCCACATGCGGAGTATGTATCCCTATCACCCCTCCCCCCACCAGGCTCTCCGCTCCCACACGAGTGACCCGGGTGACGCGGCGCTGCTGGACCAGCTGCTGCAGCCGGTGGCGCAGGCGGGCGACCTCACCACGGCGGGGGCGCCATGGCCCAAGGTGCGGGCGGAGGGGTAAAAATAAAGAAACACTGACAAACTGAATGACGAGGCTCCACCATGGGTTGCTAATTGGGCGGAGGGGTGGGGAGGCGGAGTCCGGCGTAAAGTTTCGGATTTCAGATGCCAGAGACCGCATGGCTTGAGCTAGCAAGGGCTCTCTAGGTCACCGCCAATTGGGAGCTAAGCTCCTCCCTCTCTCCCTCTCCGCCCCCTGTTCTCCTCCCGCCTATCCCTTTTGTTCTTCCCACACCCTTTCATCGGCTACGTTGCCGTTGCCGTACAACGCCGCTTACCGCCCCGCAGGTGGACAAGGGCAGTCGCTGGCTGATGGGCCGCCTGCGCAACCTCTCCGACTTCAACTCCGCGCTGCGGTCGCTACAGCAGCAGCCGCAGGTGCAGGCGAGAGTACGGCAGCTGCTGGCGGCCATGACCGACCGCTCCCCGCCCGCCACCTGGTGGAACCACGACTGCGACATGGCGCTGTTGTACGGCATGCACCGGGCTGGGTACGGCGAGTACGACGCGGTGTTTGCGGATCCGGAGTTCCTGCCGGTGTTTCAGGGCGCGAGGGTGAGTGTGTGGGTTTGCCATGGCATGATAAGGCGAAAGGCCATGGGTGCAGAGGCTGACCCGGGTACCCGTGGTTATGCACACGACTGCTGAAATGGAACAGTATGGAGGGAAGGGAGGTATCTGGCTTCAGCTGTAAAGAGCAGAAATCCGTTCTTCCGTTTGTATATCACCATGGCTGCCCATGCTGGGTATGTCCATGCGTGCAGGAGGCTCACTACGCCCGGCTACGTGAGCTGACTTCTGGAGCGGCGGCAGCAGCCGGAGGCGCTGCGGCGGGGTGTGAAGCTGCAGAGGCGCAGGACAAGCTGGCAGCCGCGGCCGCGGTGGTGGCAGCGGCGGCCTCGGCTGCCGCAGCAGACGTCCGTAACTCACAACCGATGGCCGACGGCAGCAAGGGGGCCGGCGAGGAGGGCGAGGCAGCGGCGCCAACGACGGCTGCGGCAGAGGGCGACGCAGCCACTGCCGCCGCTGCCAAACCAGACGGCGCCGCCGCCGCCGCCACCTCAGCAGCTCCGCCTTCCTACGTCTGGCCTGACGGGCAAGCGTTGACGCCCCGGATACGGCGGCTGTGTGATCTGGTCCTGAAAGCTGTACGGCAGGTGGAGGAGGGTGTGGCTGCACCCGGGGGGGAGTCCACCGCCGGCCCCGCTGGGGATGCCGGCGCTGCGGCTGGTGCGCCAGCGGAGCACAGGTCCCCCGGGCAGCGCGGGAGGCCCAAGGGCTCGGGGCGGGGCGGCCGGGGTGCGGCGGGCGGGGGTGGGGCGGAGCGGTCTGAGACGTGGACGAAGAAGGACCGTCAGGAGGTGCTGTCGCTGCTGCTGAGGTTCGGGCTGCCCTCGGGAGCAGGAGCGGCGGCAGCAGCGGCGGCGGCTCAGAAGCCGGCAGCAGGAGAGGAGGCGGCGCCATGTGCGCCAGCTGGTGACACGGTGACGGGGTCGGTGACGGCGGCAGGAGCAGCGGGAAGGGAGCAGGGTGCAGGCGGTCCGGAGGGAGATGAGGGGGGTGTGGGGTTGCTGGTGGAGCTGGCTAGGAGCCACTGTCCCCGCCTGGCTGCCAAGAGCTCGGCGGGCATCCAACAGGTGGGTGGGAAGTGTGGGTAGGAGGAGGAGGAGAAGGGTGTCGTACCTGCAGCTGCGGACCGTCCTTAGAAGTTGTGTTCACTGCCGCCTTCGGCTGTAAACCCTGACATCGTACATGCATGGATGCACCCTCCCAAGCCTGCCTTTACCCTCCGCTGCCTCTCTCCATCACGCGCAGGCCATTCGGGACTTGTTGGGGGAGATTGAGGAGCTGCTGGGGCCGCAGGGGGACGCAGCTGCGGGGGCAGCAGCGGGTGAGGCAGCGGGCGGGGCGCCGCGGACGCCCCGTGCTAGTCGGCATGCGCCGGGCTGCGCTTGCCGCATCTGTCAGAACATTGCCAAGTACAATGCGGGGCTGCAGGCCGCGAATGCCGGTGGTGAGGGGGCTGCTGCTGACGCTGGTAATGGTGCTGGTGCTACTGCTGGGGGAGCAGCCCTTGAATCGGCTGCTGAGGCTGCTGCTGTTAAGACCACGACGGCAGCGGGTGAAGCAGCGGCGGAAGGAGCCGCGGCGGCTGGTGGTGCTGGTGGCACTGACGGTGGCGGAGGAGCAGCAGATGGGGCGGAGGCGGGGGCCGGTGGAGTTACACCGGGCAAGCAGGGCGGTGCTGCCGCTGCTGCCCCGTCATATTCAGCTGGTGGAGGGGGTGATGGTGCGGGCGGAGATGGCTGCATGAGCGAGGGTGAGGGGGAAGGCGATGCGGAGGCTGACGGTGAGGAGGGGCCGGTTTCGGAGCATGGAGACGAGGCGGGGTCGGATGGGGAGAGTGATGGAGATGGGGATGAGAGCGGAGAGGAGGAGGGCGGGGAGAGCGATGGAGGCAGGGGCGGAGGGAAGACGGAGGAGGCGCGCAGCGGTGCAGCTGCTGCGGCGGCTGGTGAGGCAGGTGAAGCGGGGCCAGCTGGTGTCACGGCTGGAACGACTGCTGGCACGACGGCGGAGGGCGCAGGGGCTGATGGGGGTGCGGTGCCGGAGGGGGGCGGTGCACCGGCGTCAGGGCGCAAGCGGCGACCCAAAGGCAGCATCACCAAGGTAAGCTCAATACCTTGGCAGGTCGCTGGTCACCTTGGCATGCCGCTGGTGTGGTGGGGTGAGGGCTCCGCTAGGGGGTCCCAAGCTGCCGATATGCCAGGGGCTGTGGACAGGGAGGGACGTTTGGAACTGCCACGCATGGAACAAGGGAGAACGAGGGGCAACTTACCTCACCGAGCAAGCATTCAACCTCCTGTTCCTCGCGCCAACACCTCTGCTGTCCTCCCTCATCCCCGCTGTCTTCCCCCCCTGCCGCAGGTCCTCACCAGCGCCTCCGCCGCCCGCCTGCGGCAGCGCATGGACCTCCTCTCGCAGCTCCGACGGGGCTTGAAAGAGCTCGCGCAGCCGCCCCCGCCGCCGCATTCCGACACCGCGGGTGAACGGCGCAGCGCCCGAGTGCTCAGCAGCCACACCCACAACCCCAACTGCGGGGTTGCATGGGAGCTCAGTCCCGCTCTGACAGGCAAGCGGGGGGTGCTGCCGCCCTGGTGGCTGCCGGAGCATGACGTACAGCTGGCACATGGGGTCGTACGGCACGGTTTCGGAGCCTGGGACGCGATTGCGAGGGACCCGCAGTACAGCTTTGAGAGCTGCGCGCGTGCGACGGGAGCGGTGCCGGATGTGGAGGAGGAGGCGGGAGAGGAGGGCGAGGGAGGGACGGGTGAGGGCGGAGGAGGAGGAGGTGTTACGGCGGCGGCGCCAGCGCTGGTGCTTAGTGCGAGTTGGATGCCCTCGCCGCAGCTGCTGTCGAAGCGCGTGTCGCAGATTGTGGGCGTCATGCAGCGACTGCTGAAGAACCCCAAGTAAGCACCTGCTGCTCTCTGCTTGCGCGCGGTGTGTGCCGTAACTCGTGTGAGGTATCCTCTTCTTAGTTTAAAGAGCTGCTGCAAAGGAAGGTGTACAACACCGACCTAGGCGACCCCCGTGTGTTGTATGTTGTGTGTATAGTAAATGATGATTTCCTCAAATCCTCCCAGCTCAACTGTCGCCCCCTTCCTGCATGGCCCTCCCCTGAACAACCCACTTCTCACCTGACCCTCTCTCACCCCTCCCAATGCGATCCATCTGACTGCCCCAGAGCCCTGGCAAGGGCTGCGAAACGTCTGGCAACGCATCCCGGAGCGGCGGACCTCCCCACCAGGCCCGCACATGCAGCCGCCGCTCGGTCCCGAGGGACGGCGACTGCGGCTCCCAAGGCAGGAGCAGCCGCAGCGGGGGCGGCAGGGCTCAACATTAGCGCTGCGGCTGCAGCCATCGCGGCCGCAGCGGCTGCGGAGGCGGAGGCTATCCTGGCCGCGAAGCGGGGTGGGACCAGCACTGAAGAGGCGGGTGAGGGCGGTGGCGGCGAGGCGGAGGGAGACGAAGAGGAGGGCGGGGAGGAGGAGGACGCTGACGGGCATGAGGATGGGGATGGAGATGACGAGGACGGTGAGGAGGGTGAAGGCGAGGAGGAGGAAGAGGAGGAGGAGCCGGAGCCGCCCAAACCCGACCTCACCCGGTGTCGTGTGCGGGTTGTGAAGGCGCTACCGCCGCTGCCGCCAGCGCTACCCATGCATGCGCCACCACGCTACGCGGGTAGAGGCCGTGGACGTGGCAGGCCGCCCAGGACCATCGCCACCTCTTCTGTTGACGCTGCGACGACGTCCGATGCCAGCGGGGCTGATGCCGGCGGCGCCGGCAGCACCGCCGCTGCCGCCGGCCCAGGTGGTGACGGCGGCGGAGGGTCGCAGTTAACTCCCGAGCAGCTGGCGGATCTCGCCATGCAGATGGCCCTAGAGGCCCTGCAGCGGAAAGGAGGTGGCGGCGGCAAGGGCAAGCCGCCCAAAGCTGCCGCCAGCGGTGTTGCTACGGAGCCTGGTCCAACCTCGGCGCACAAGCGCAGGAAACCGGAGGGCGCGGAGGCAGCGGCTGAAGCTGACGGGGTGTCGGAGGGACTGGGGGCGTCGGTTCCCGAGCCCACGCCTACCTTCACTGCCGCCGAGGGCGAGGCGGAGGCAGCAGCGGCGGAGGTGGCGTCGCCGGCGCGGGTTGACGCCGGCGGGGGTCAGGTGCAGAAGCGGCGTCGGGTGGAGCCGCAGCATGCGCCGCCGCTGCCGGACGGGCAGCTGGACCTTGCGACGCTGCAGCTGCCGGCGACTGTGTCCCGGGGTCGCGGTCACACGCTGACGCTGGTAGCGCTGGGTCAGGTGGAGTGGCAGCGGCCGGGGTACCATGCAACGGATGCGATCTTCCCCATTGGTGAGTGCCCCTGAGTGCCCCTGCGCGACGTGAGATCTCCCGGCGTTGAAATGCCCTCTTGCATGGCGCATGAACGGGCATGACGGGCCCTCGTTCTATGCGCCTTCTGCTCCTCATCAATCGTGTCCCCCCTTTTTTGGGAACCCCCGGCAGCTTCTGCAACCGCTCTTCCTTCTCCTTACCCCCACCCCTCCCTCCTCCTCCGCCCCCTCCCTCCTCCCTCCCTCTCCCCTCTCCCGAACTAATGCCAACCCAACTATCCAGCCTAACGCGGAATATCGAATATGTATCCCTACTAATCCCTCTCCCCACCACCCCCCCAGGCTACCGTGTGACCCGGGAGTACCCCAGCATGACCGACCCCGAGGCAAGCACGCTGTACACGCTGGAGATCCGCGACGGGGGGCCCACACCGCTGTTCGCGATCAGCGCGGAGGACCAACCTGGTCTGGAGCTCAGTGCCAAGACCGCTGCACAGGCCTGGAACCAAGGTGGGCGCGTGTGTGCGTGTGTTAAGAAAACTGACCGCATGTCTGTGTGGGGTTAGGGTTTCGTCTGTGGGGGAAAGGGCCTAGCTCGTGGTTATAGCCCACATGTCCGCACGTGCTGAGCTCTTACCCCTACCTGCGGTAAGCGCTGGTAGGGAGGATGCGTTGCGGAGGCGCATGGCCATGTTAGTACCCTCAAGAGCGTCCCTCCTCAGCCTTCCGTGTCTATCTTCCCCTTACGCTGTTACCCTCTTTCCCTCTGTTTCTCCTCCTCCCCAGTTCTGGAGCGTGTACGACAGGTCCGCGGCCAGCCCAAGATGTCCTCCAAGAGCGGCAAGGAGATGTACGGCCTGTCGCACCCGCGCGTGCTGGCGGCGCTGCTGCTGCTGCCCGACGTCAACCGGTTGCAGCGGCTGCACCGGCCGCTGCTGGCGACCCGCGCGGGGCTCATCCAGTCTCCGGAGGAGCTGGCGGCAGCCATGGCAGCCATGGAGGCGGAGCGGCAGCAGCAGCAGCAGCTGGAGCAGGCGGCTCAGCAGCAGCACCAGCAACACCATGCTGCATACCGTGTTAAGGAGGAGGGGGATGAGGAGGACGAGGATGAGGATTTGGAAGGGGAGGAGGAGGAGGAGGAGCAGTGGCGGCAGCCTTCAAGGATGCACCCTTGGGCCAGGCGGCGGGCGAAGCAGGAGCTGGAGGATGGGGATTGGAACGAGGATGATGACGAGGATGAGAATTGCTGTCGTCAGAGGCGTAGGGGCGGTGGCGGCCGCGGCCGGGGCAGGGGCAGGGGCGCCGGTGGCAGGAGGGGAATGCAGGAGCAGAGGCGGGTGAAGGAGGAAGCTGCGGCGATTGCAGCTTCGGTCTGGGGTGCACCTGCTGCTGCTGCTGCTGCTGCTGCTGCACCCGCCGCCGCTTCATCCGGCGCCAGGGCAGTATCGGCTATCTCGGGCGGAGCGAGCAGCCAGGAAGCGGCGGTGGCGGCACCGCTGGAGGCTGCTCGTGTGACATCCGCGAGCCAGGAGGCGGGTGACACCATTTCAGGTGCGGAGCGAGGAAGGGGCAGCAGCGGGGTGTCACGCCTGGCTGGTGCTGCTGGTAGCGGAGATGGTATGGTTGCAGAGCCGGCATTTTACGGTCTTGGACTGTCCTCAGCGGCGCAGCAGCAGCAGCAGCAACAACTGCACCACCAGCACCAGCAGCAGCAGGATGCCATTGCTCAGCAGCAAGCACTGCTGCTGCAGCAACAGCAGCAGCAGTTACTTGCACAGCAGCAGCAGCGGCAGCAGCAACAGGAGGACTTGGCGAAGCAGCAGTGGCTGATGCAGCAGCAGCTGTTCATTCAACAGCAGCAGCAGGAGCAGCAGCGGCAGGAGGCTCAAAAACGCGCTGCCGCTGCAGCCCACCAGCAAGCCCTCCTCCGGCAACAACAACAACAGCAACAGGAACAACAACAACGGCAACAGCGGGAGCGCGAAGACGCCTTACGTCAGCAGCAGCAGCAGCAGCAACAACAACAGCAGCAACTCCAGCAGCAGCAGCAACTGCAAGGCCAGCAGCGCCTGGTTGCCACTACCGTGGCCGCTTTGGTCTCCGCGCAGCCGCACTTGGCGCCGCATCTGCAGCTGCTGCACCAGGCAGGAATGCTGACTCCCGAGGTGCTGCAACAGATCATTCAAAAGATACAGCCGGCGGGTGCCGGAGCGGGTGCAACGGGTGTTGCGGGTGCAGCAGGTACGGCACCCGCACCCGCAACCGCCAGCAACGCTGCAGTTGGTAGCAGTACGGCAGCTGCTGCGCCGAGCCAACAGCCGGGGTCAGCGGCTGCTTCAGGAGCTACCTCCCCGCGGTTGCTTCAGGCGCTGAGTCGGTATAACAGCGCTACTGCAATGCAAGCAGCGGTGGCTGCTGGACAAGCGCAGCAGCTGCAGCTGCAGGGGCGGCAGCTGCTACAAGCTTCTGCTAACATGGGCGGTGTCGGCGGCGGTCTTTCCCAGCAGCCGGCACTTCAACAGCAGATGCAACCACTTGGGCAGCAGCAGCAGCAGTCGCAGTACTTACAGCCGGAGCAGCTTCAGCTGCAGTTGTTACTCGCTAAGCAGCAGGAGCAGCAACTGCTAGCCCAGATTCAGGAGCAGCAGCAGCTGGCTCTGCAGGAAAGGCAGCAGCAGCAACAACAACAGCTACTTCAACAGCAGCAGCTGTTGCAACAACAGCATCAAATGCAGCAGCAGCAACAACAACAACAATTGCAGCAGCAACAACAACAACAAAAGCTGCAGGCCGCTGCAGATGACGCATTCCTACAATCGCTCATGCAAAGCCCATCACAACCGCACGCGGCGCCTCTACAGCAGTTGCAGCAACTGCAGCAAGCTCAGCAGCTTCAGCAACTGCGGCAGCTGCAACAGCTTCAGCAGCAGCAGCAACAGGGTTACGGCCAAGGTGGGCCCCCGAATGCGGGTCAACCACAGCAGTGGCCGCCTCATGACCCCTCCAACAACCCGCTGCAGCTGCAGCAACAGCAGCAGGGGGTCGGCTCTGTCCATATGACGGGCCCCTTTGCGGCTTACGGGCATCAAGGGGCGGCTGGGACGCAGCAGGCCGGCATTTTGCAGGGCCTGGCGCAAGGCTCGTGGCAGGGGGCATTCGGGCAGCGTGGATATAGTTGACGGGGTGACTGAAGGAAGACACGTCTAGTAGACACGGGAAGGCAGGGAACGTGTCCTGCTGAGGGTTGGATGGGGTCTTCATGATGACATGTGTCGCTGCTTACTGGCGGTGCATGTGTCGTAGGATGTTGGCGGCTATGTAAGTTGGATACACGTGCGTGGGGAAGCGTGTCGCGTCGCCGTCGCTGTCAGTACTGCTTGCACCTTTTGTTGGCCAATATGAGGCGAGCAGTATTGTATCATGCTCGCCTATACCGTGTTCCGATTGGCGGTTAATGGCTGCTGGTGCCACAGCATTAAAGTCCAGTAGGGTGTTATTGGCAGGCAACCTGGCTAGCTTTAGATGGTATGTTACATAGAACCACTCAATCAACTGCCCACCCAGTCATCCCACCTCGCCCAATCATGTGGGTGTTGTGTGCGCAGCGCTCCTCGCTCAATCCTTGATAATGTAAAGCCCGGGACATGAGCGCACGATACCTCTCACGTCCAAAACTAGACACACAGCACACGCAGCTCCAGTCCAACGCTTAACCGTTACAACATCTACGACGCGGGTGCAGCGCGCTAGGGACCAAAATTGCAACGCAGACACCGTTGCAACCGTAGATGTGAAAATTGCCTATTGCCCGCTCTCAGCGAACCCACCCCTCTTGCCGCATGCTTCCATCAGGCGGTAGGCTCCGGATACAACCAGCGCACAAACAGTCGCAAAACCACCGCCTGGGCCGTCCGAATGGACATGCAAGTCGCACCCTTGGCAGACCTAGCGAACCAAGCGTAAAGACCAATCAACCTAGCAGCGGGTCATGCAGGACGACCGCCTAGGGAAGCGCATTAACGCGTTCCACGCCGCTGCGCAACCCAGCTCCGCTCCCGGCGCTCCAGTTCCCAAGCCCGCCTGACGGCGTCCGCAGAGCGCTCCTGCTCACTCTCTCCTAAGCGACCAGCTACCTAAAGAGGACGGCATCACTGCTCGTCCATCCAGCTGCCCAGATCCAACTTGCTACGCCAGCTTACGGAGTGGAGGGGACGGCCACCTGAGCCACTGCCACCTGGGCTTTGCGGGAGGTGTAGGCCGCCCGCCGCCGCTCCTTGCGGGACAGCTGCCCCTCAGCGGGCTTCTTTGTGTGGGTGGCCTGCACAGCAGCCACCGCCTTGGGGTGGTCCTTAGGGTAGACGTGGATCTGTGTTATGGGGTGCACGGGTGCAGGGAAAGCTTCGGTTAGCACTTCACCCCGCTAACAGCCAAACCGACACCTGTTAGGCAAGAATGGCAGGTCGGAACAGCACGGGGAACAGCTGAACCTGTAACGGAGCCCAGGACTTACCTCGGGCTTCTCGCGCTTCTTGTCGAAGATTACAATGCCCTCCACAGTGCTGAACACGGTATAGTCCCTCCCGTACATGCAGTTGTCGCCAGGGTACCACTGTGTGGCCAAGAAGGATTGGTATATGAAGGACCTGTTGCTCCTTAAGAATCCTGACATCTATACCCCTAAACTACAAACTTACTACTAGCGATTTAAATGTGGCATCGGAAAGCCATCATTCTGATTGGTGGTACCCGTAAAAGCAAAGCCACAAACGGCATCCCTCTCAAGCGTCACTCTGTCCGCCAAGAAACCAGGCCCCAGTTAATTATCTGTCCTAATCTTACCGTGGAGCCAGTCTGGCGCACAATAATGCCACCAGCCTTCACTGGCTGGCCGCCGTAGACCTTCACACCCCGGCGTTGAGCGTTGGAGTCACGACCGTTCTTAGTCGACCCTGATCCCTTTTTGTGGGCATTTTGGATAACTAGGGCGCGCTTGGGCGCGGCAGCGACGCGAACACGCGAGGCAAACGCCTGACTAGCAAAGCTGTGAGCTGCCAACATGGTGTAAAGCTTTTCCCTAAGAATTGGCGTTTGAAAGCTGCGGAAGTAGGTGGCCGGTTGGTTATGTTGCGGGAGAGCCTTGCAAAGAGACGTTTGGACGAGCGTACAACTTCATTCTGGTCGCATACGCCAAACGCCATCTTCCCAGCTGGCTTTTGACTGCAACACAATTTGGTCATACACCTAAACATTCGTGACAGATAATGTAAGCGTTTGTGATACTGAAGACTGTTTGGCATTTAGTCAACTGCCGAACCCTTCAAAGATTAAACGGCTTCCCAGAGTTCCCTACCTGACGAGCGGGACGGCGTAGCTCGCGACAAGGATCACGTTTACTGCGCAAACTCCTGTGGCTTGTAAGGAGGTGTCGTACGCCGTGATCTACGGCTGTCTCCCTGCGATGAGTAGATTGCCCAAGCACATGGCACCATCAGGCATCCTCGCAGGAACAGCAATGCTGCCATGCGCGTACTAGAAGTCGGAGGGCACTTGATGACACCTTTTGGGGCGTTCGGTGACACCATACAGAAGTGTTCTGTCCATGCAGTTCGCGGGTGCGCTTGGGGCCTTGCAGCCTTACAACAGCATTTCGGGCAAGGCCTCTTGTCACGTCAAGACGCACCCCAGTCAACTTCACTAGCCCGCGCCAAACTCGTCAAGAGAGTCCGCCACACATTTTCCGGCGTCACACAATCAGAGCGGTCCACGACCGCTTTCATGGACAGGCCTTCATGCAACCGCTCACGCACAGCGCGGAGCTCCTACCCCGTCAAACAAGCGCGGACAACCACCACTACCAGTTCTCCTCCAGTATGCTGCTGCCTATGTACCAAACACACGCTACAGCCTGCCTGCCCCCAAGCGCATCACTCCTCCATCGCTGCGGATCCCGGTGCCGCAGCCCCATCTGCCTGCGCCGCACCCGCCCCCTCCCCGCCAGCCTCCGCAGCGGGCGCCTCCTTTGCAGCACCCTCCTCCGCCTCCCCTCCTGGCCCCGCGGCACCCTCCTCCCCTCCTCTCGTAGCCGCCTCACCCTCCGCCGCACCCGCCTCCTGGTCCCCGCCGGCAGCCTCATCCATCGGTTGCTGGGCCCCCGCCTCCTGCTGCGGCTGCTGCTCCCCTTCCCCCTCTTGCTGCTGCTGCTGCGGCTCTGGTAGGTAGTGCGGCGCCGCTGCCGCCGCCGCCCAGCCCATCTGCTCATCCGCAATGGCCGCCACCAGCGCCGACATGGCCTCCACACCCGGGATGAGGTCGTACTGTACGGCATCCTCCAGGCCGCGGGAGCACATGCCGTACGACTCGCCCTGCAACACAGCACCACGGGAAGAAGAAGGGAGGGAAGGAAATGTATAAAAAGGGTTTGTCCAAGCCGGTCCTAGGTGATACCCGTAACTACCGCGGTACATGCGCGTGGCAGCATCCGCAGGAGCCGCGATCTGTAGCTAGGCAGCATGCACAGGGCCCGCGGGAGCATGCAACCCATACAGGTACATGCGGACCCTGCCGCCTCCTACCTTGACGAGCGCCAGCTGCGTGGGCCGCGCCAGCAGCTGCCGGAAGGTGGGCTGCAGCTCGTAGCAGTTGGCAAACAGCTCCCTGCAACAGCAGCAGCAGCAGTGCGCAAACAAGGAACCGAACAGAGTGATGACAGCGATGACGGGATGTCAGGAGGGGGGGAGAGAGACGGTCCCGAGCTACAGCCGCTAAAGGCAGGGCAGAAGCGAAGGGAGAGAAAAGGGGCACGCCGAAAAGGCAATGCCCCCAAGCCTTCAGATGCAGCCAGCCACCCCCCCGGCTCAGCTCCTCCCTCCCTCCCTCCCTCCCTCCCTCCCTCCCGCCCTTCCTCACTTGCGTCCAAAGATGTAGAGCCCCAGTCGCGCGCGACTCATGGCCACCACCAGGCGCCTCACGTCGCGCAGGTGGCCCACCGCGCGGGTGCGCACCAGGCTGAGCAGCACGTAGTCGTTCTGCGCGCCCTGGTACTTGTCCACAGTGGCGATCTGGAGGGAGCGAAGGAGGGAGCGAGGAAGAAGAGGAAGTGAGGGAGGGCGAAAGTTAGTAGTGCGTAACTTGCAATTTTCAGCATGCCGGAGCGGTTAGAAAACACCACCACGCAGGTGATGATCTCATTCCGTCCTATCCCTTACCCGGTGCGGTCGACCGAACTGCGGGTAGGGCGCGCAGCGCTGCTCGATGACGTCCCGAATGAGCGCCTTCTGGCCGTTGTAGGTGGTCAGGATGGAGATCTTGTGCGCCGGGTAGCCCATGAGCCGCATGAACATGAAGGTCGCCGCCACGTACTCCGCCTCGCCCAGGTTCTGGTAGAAGTACGGCACCGGCTCGAACTCGCCTGTGGAGCGGCAGCGCGTTGGCGGGAGGGGAAGTGGAAGCGGAAGGGAGAGGCGCCATGCATTAATAGAAGGCTGTTCATATGGTAGTATTCGTAGCATTGATGGTCACTAGCAGCTCTCGGCCCAGACCACAACAGGTTGGTGCGGAGGTCACGCTCCACCACACCCCTCCCTCCTGAAGTGCTGTTGTAGCGCCCACTGCTCTGGCGTACAGGGATACCACCCTCGAGGTGCAGCCCATCACGAGTGTCCCTCCCTTCCTAACCCCTCCTCTCCTGTCCACAACCCCCCCTCCCCCAGCCCAACCCCCTCCCCCCCCACCTCTTCCCATGAAGTCCGGCACATCCACCAGCTGGAAGTCCAGTGCGAAGCCCGCGTTGGCGGTCCGGAAGGCGGGCTCGCGCTGCACCGCCGGCAGGTCCCCAAGCGCCCGGTAGCGCCAGTTGTAGAGGCGGGCCAGGGAGGCGCGGGCGCGACCCTGGGGGTGGGCGCGGAAGAGGAGGAGCGGGAGAGGGGGGAGAGGGGTTAGGTTGGTCGATCTATGGGGAAAATGGATAATGATCATACACATCCGAACCATGGGATTTAGGTTTGAAGGTAGGAGGTGAAAGGGATAAGAGAAAGAGACACTGGAAAGCCGTATGCAATCACACTCTGCTCCACTTAACCCGGGAAGTCCCTCCAGAAGGAAAATTCCTTCCAGGCGGCGAAGCCCCCACCCAACAAGGCCCTCCAGTAACAAGCAAGGCAATCCCCACCCACCTGCGCGTTGAGCTGCACGTAGGGTGTTCCCAGCCGGATGAAGCGAGTGAAGAGCGACTGGTCGAGGTGCGAGTACTTTTGGAAGGCCTGGTTCTTGACGACGGGCGGCAGCTGGTGGTGGTCGCCGATGAGCACCACCCGCTTCAGCCGCGACACGCCGTCCTCGGGCTTCTGCGGGGGGGTGGAAGGGGGGGGGGGGCAGGTGGAGGTGCGATGGGGTTAGGCAAACTGAGCCGTGGGGAAACACTACCCATGACGCAGTATATTATGGAAGGATGATGATAAGGTGAAGGGGTGCCAGTAGCGGGTGGGGTTAGGGAAATAAAAAGGCCAAGGTACAAGGCTACAAACAAATGTCCTGACTTGGCAGCACAGCCTTCCACAGGGCCCCCCCCAAACACTACGACAGCACAGCACCACACCGCGCCGGCCGCGCCCTTCCCGCCCTTCCTCGCCTGCAGCAGCATGGGGATGAAGGTCTCGATCTCCAGGATCTGCGCCGCCTCCTCCATCAGCAGGTTGTCGTACTTGAAGGCCAGCTGCAGGAACTCCCGCCGCTTGAGGGCCGCGTGCGTGCAGGTCATGGCCACAATCTTGGCCTGTAGGGAGAGGGGGCGGAGGGGGTGAATAAGTTAAAAAGTGAAGCAACGGAGTCCCTATCCCATTTACCGACGGGGAGCGAACAGGGGTGAGCAGGGGAAGCGTCAAGAGAGAACAAAAGAGAGAGAAGTTTGTCCTGTTGGACGCATGGAGGGTAAACGTGAAGGAGCTACAGCGGGTTTCCTTACGTGCTTTCCATCCCAACCACCATTAACAACGGAGCCATCCCATACCCAAACCGCCCCAACCCCCTTAACCCCATCCAGTTGCTGCACTTTATTTTAAGTATTTCCTATTTATTATTTTTTTCTTATCCCTCTCCGCACCTGCTTCGTGCTGAGGTAGTTGACCCTGTCCGCCTGCCCCTTGAGCATCTCGAAGGCGCGGCACTCCTCCAGCTCCTGGAACAGCGTGCGCAGGTGGCGGAAGCAGCCGCGGGCACACTCCATGTCCTGGGGCGAGAGGAAGAGAAGCAGCAGGGAGCGAGAGAGTGAGAGGAGATGAGAAGCAGCAGCAGGGGGGAGAGAGTAAGGGTAGCTGCTTGGTAATGAGACCACAGTCATGAAAGCACACGTGCCCAGGTGTGAGGCTATGATCTAGCAGCTGCAGTGCGATGCATGGCGAGGTGTCAAAGCCTGGCTAATTGATAACTTAACCAACTAGACCAAGCACCGCTGTGAGGAAACCCGAAAGCACCCAGAAAACGCAACGACTACACTCCCCGTACCTGCTCGAAATCCTGGCCGGCGAACAGCGGCTGCGGCGCATCCGCAAAGTACTCCTTGAAGGGGAAGAGCTCCGAAACCACACCCGCCCCCGCCCCGCCGCCGCGGGCCCGCTCCACCGCCGCACAGAACTTCTCCCACCGCGCCAGCACGTGGATCAACCAGAAGTAGCCGGCCGTCTCGCATGTGTACGACACGGACTCGGCCTCGGGCTGTATAGGGGGGTGTCACAGCCCGGGAGGGGGGGGAATCCGTTGGAAAACAGGGTAAGCGGCGATGGAGAATAGGAGAGGGTGTACCACCCGCATGCAAACCTCCATGCAACTCCAGAACCGGTAGTTCCCTGGTTTTTCTCTCAGTACCCTCTGGGTCCCCACTCCTGGACCCCGCCTCTGCCCCTTCTCCAGCCCCCCTTCCCTCTGTATTGTGCCACCCTGCCGTCTCTTATCCCCTTTGCTTTGCCCTAGCCTGTGGCTTCCTACGGTGTGGTGCGGTCTTTGCTCCCTCCCTCCCTCACCACTCCCAGCTGCCGCGCCATCTTCTCCACCTCCGCCAGCAGCTCCAGCCGTCGAGCCAGCATGGCGTTCACGCGGCCCACGCGGCTGAAGTCCTGCTCCGTGTCCAACTCCGCCTCACCCATGCCTGTGAATTGGGGGAGGGGAGAGCGGGGGAGAGGGGTTTAGGTAGGGGTGCAGGGAGGTCAGGAAGGGGTCAGGAAGATGTCAAGAGTGTATGGAAATGGGAGCTGCGCGACAGGGGTGAAGCTACGACCACTGACAGCATCCACCGTCTCAGCCTGCCAGATTTTCTTCATCAACAACGCGACATGCGACGGCCTTGCAGACAACAGAATCAGCAACGAGACACGGCCGTGTCGTGACGCGGCCCTCACCTAGGCGCAGCAGGTAGCGCTCGGGCACGTCCCGCTCCATAATCTTGCTGAACAGGTCGTTTAGGGCCTGGGTGGCGGGGGGGGAGGGGGAGGAAAAGAGAATATCCAATGAGTTCAATGAGGAGGGCAAACAAGAGAGGGGAGGAGGAAGGGGGGCGCAGGGGCAACAATTACGAGTATGATGCACCCCCGAAGACGTCACGTCGCCCCTGATTCAGCCCATGGTGTACCCTAGATGTCACATGGTCGGTTCTTCGGCCTCTTCCTCTCCACCCTTCCCCCCGCCCGCCCCTCCTCTGTATCGCCCCACCTGGTTGGAGTGTGTGATGAGCAGCGTGCGCTGCCCCGGGCAGTTGTGGTAGAGCACCGTCATGATCTGCACCGCCGTGTCCGTCTTGCCGGTGCCGGGCGGACCCACAACCATGGTCAGGCCGGGCTGCACGCCAGAGGCAATGGCCTCCACCTGCAGCAGCAGCGGAGGGGGAAGGGAGGGGGGAGAAGGAAGGGGAAAGGAAAGGAAGGGATAAGGCAGCCGAAGGGGAAGGGGATGGGGGAATAAGATACCGGCAAGTTGTCCGCCCTCCACAGTCCTGCGCAAGCCCCTCCTCCGCCCTCCTCCGCCAGTTTTCACAGCCCCTCCTCTGGACAGCTGCACACCCACACCCGCCCACCTGCACGGGTGTGAAGCGCACTGCGTTGCGTCGCGGCTGGTCCTGCGGGTAGGGCCCCGGGTTGGGCGGCACGTAGCTCTCAACCAGCAGCTCGCCGGGGGCAGGGGACGCTGGTGCAGGTGTTGCTGCTGGTGCGGAGGAGGAGGAGGGAGCGGTGTCAGCGGCGGCAGCAGCAGCACCGGACGATGTGGCGGGCGCGTCTTCGGGCCCTGTTGCGGCAGGTGGCTCGGTTGGGAAGGTGACGCGGAAGGGCGGCACCGGCTTGGGGCCACCGGAGCGGTTGACGAAGGACACCTGCGCGCGGAGGGAGGAGGAGGGGGACAAGGGGGTGGGGCAGGGTTGAGGCGGGGAGCATGGGAGAGCAGAGCTGTCCGACGCAGCGTGCCAACGCCAACACGGTACGCCCCAGGCTGCATGCTCCCTCCTCACGGTCCCGGAGACCCAAGCGTCTCACATGGGGACATGGCGCATCAGAACCCCCCATCGAACGGCCCAAACAGTTGTAACAACCAACCTAGTCAACAACCCCGCCCCACTCTACCTTAAACTGCGGGAAGGCCTCCACCACGTGATCCGCATCCAGGAACGTGTCCTTGAAGTCCACAGTACGCAACGGCGGCTGGCCGCCCACACCACCTCCCTCGCCGCCCTCTGCAGCAGCGGCCGCGGCCGCGGCGGCGGTGCCGGGCACGCGCGCCTGCGCTGCCGCCGGGTCACCGTACCCCAGGAACACGTCGTGCAGCCAGGGCGGGATGGCTGCGGTGTCGTCGTTCATGAGGTCACGGATGGACTCCAGCACCGCCTTGAAGTTGTTCTCCTTGGGCTTGCGGCTGTGGAAGAGGGGGCCGGTGTAACGTGTAAGCCATTAGTCGGATATTGCGGAAGGGGAGGACAGGCAGGAAAAGGGGGCGGTTCGAACAGGGACGTAGCAGACGAGATAGGAGCAAAAGAAGGGGGGGGTGCATTCGGCCAACGTCGCATGCAAACAAATCGCCCCCCATCACCAAGGGAACCATCCTGCTGCACCATCACATTATGATGCCGCGACTCTACAACAGCAGCAGCAGCAGCCAGCCCAGGCCAACGAACGCCCCGGGAAAGCAGGTGGGTTTGCCAACTCGCATCACGCCGGCCTCCAGTACATTCCGACTCGCGGCCAGTTCCTCTTATCCCTCCCCGGCCGCTGCCTCACCGCATGACCAGGTTGAAAGTGGCGTACGGGTCCTCGCTCTTGTGGCGCGCCATGGTGTTCATGTCCAGCTGGTACTGCGCGGTGTCCAGCGCCACCGTCAGCGTGCGCGCGTAGCCCTCGGGCGGCTTCACCTCGTCGCGCCGCACCCGGCCCGTGAAGTCGTTCATCAGCCTGCAGAGCAGGGGGGGGGGATGCGGAGGGTGTGGCGGAGGGGTGCGAAGGGTTTTGCGGAGAGTATGGGGCATGTATGGGTGCGGTGGGGAGGAGGAAGGGCAGCATCACCACCAGGCCGCGCTGCACGGCCATTCCATCCCAGGCACCAGCACCACCACTCCGCACACCATACACAGGAACACAGCACCCTACATCCCACCCCACGCAGCACAGCACCTCCGCACCTGCCGCCCTCGTCGCGGACCTCGATGACCTCGCAGCCGCGCACGTACACCAGCCCGTGCTTCTCAGCAACGGAGGGCTCCCGGCCGTCCGCATGCGCCGCGGCAGCAGCAGCCGCGTCAGGCGGGCGGATGGTCATCAGGAAGAGCACGTCGTGCTGCTTGAGCTCGTCCCACTCTGTTGTACGGATGTACAACACAGGAATTCAGCAGGCAGGCAGGCAGGCAGGAAAGCGGATGTGTGAGGAAGGCAGGAGGAGGAAAACAGGTGTGGAAAGTATCGCCGGTAAGCCAAGGACGTAACCCCTCCCCAAATCCCTGCTCCACCGACAGTCGTAACGTCATGTCTGCACCTGGACGCAAAACAAGCCCCCCCTTCGCCCTGAAGCCTCGTCATACAGTTCGTCAGTTTCCTTCTATTTTTACACCCTCCCACCGCGCACCCACCAGCACGCACGTCGCCTCGGAGCGGCCGCGTGTCCACCACCACGTCAGCGGTCACGGCGGCGGGCTTGGCCTCCCCCACGTTGGGCTTGCGCACCTCCGTGACCTGCATGGGTGATGACATGGCATGACATGGAGGCACACAACACACACACAGCGTGAGTACGGCAACACGTCATGTCACGTGCTCACGTCACGAGTTGCGCATGCCAGCATGCGTGACAGGCACATGAGTGCATAGGACGCGTACACAGGATACAAAAGGCTCGCAGCAGCGTAGGAAGCATGTGTGCCACGTGTACGGTATCCCCCCCTACCTCCGCCCCGCCCGCGCAGACCGCACCTTGAACGAGTTGGTGGGCAGCGCCATGCGCGCCCAGCCCGCGAACCGCACCCGGTTGTCATCGTCCCAGTAGGCGCCCATGCGGCCCAACACGTCCGCGATGTCCTCACGCACCTCGTACGTCGCCTCCAGCCTGGGAGCCGGGGTGGGGGGGTGGGGTGGAGGTCAGCAAGGAGCGAGGGTGCAACACACGGCTGTGCATTACTGGTCAACATGGGCCTCCCCCACCCATTTTCTTCCTCCTCCCACCACCCACCGCACACACGCCTACCTGAACAGGTGGAAGTTGCGCAGCAGGTAGTCGTGGGTGGTGAGGAACTGCAGGTTGAGCTTGGGCAGCGCCAGCGCGCCCTCGCCCGTGTAGTGCTCCGAGGAGGCGGGGATCTGAGGAGGGGGACGCAAGGGAGGGCGCCCGAGAGAAGTTGGGAGAGGCGGGTTACGCATTGAGCGGCCACATCGGTAGCTGTGACGTCATTCAAGCAAACATCACAAGCTGGATTCGAGCAAACTACCCCTGCAGCCATCACTCCTCAAGAGACAGGTGGTCCCCACCCCTGCTCCCCTGCCACCTGCTCCCTGCCCTCCCACCCACCTGGCTCTCGTCCCACAGCAGGCTCTCCGTGGGGTACAGCGGCATCTCGTTCACCACTTCGCGCTGACTGCGCCGCCGCTCGTACGTGCTCACCAGCACCTGTACGGCACGCGGCGAACGGATCAGCAACAGGATCAGGATGAGCAGCAATTGAATCAGCAGCAGCAGCAAGGACCGTATCAACAGCAGCAACGGAGCGCTGGGAGTCAGTACGGCAGGCGACAGGGGGACGTTGGCGGGGTACCGATGCGCGGCTTTGCAGCTACAAGAGTCCTTCCTGCTGCTGCGTTGTACGGCTGCGCGCCGCATCGGGTTTCTTCACTGGGTTATCAGCACCTCCTATGTTATCGGTTCCCCCATTGTTCACGTATCATATGTTAACCATGTCACCTATCGCGGGCACTCGCACACTACTCGCGGCCGGTTTTCTTAACACACGCCGTCAGTTTCTCGACACAAGCCGCACGCTAGCTAGCTAGCCCGCTCACCTCCATGAGGAAGGCGGTGTCCGCGGCCCACGGGTCGTCCTCGCCCACCAGCCGCAGCTGCCGACAAAGCAGGTGGCGCAGCTGCTCGGGGGAGAGCGTGGAGAGCTGGCGCCTGGGGGGGTGGGGGTTGCGGATAGGTGGTTCGGATAGGGGTTAGGACGGGGCAGCACCGAAACGCAGCACACATGGTGAGGAGGGCCTTCTCCGCTCATGCAAACGGAGGAATCCAGGAGGTGTTAAGGAGGTCTTGAATGAAGGACGGGTGTGGCCAGTTTCTTAACACATGCATGAGGGGTTGCATGCCGCAGCGCTCTCACGCACGCGCACACACGCACTGCCTGCTCCCTCCCCACCTCAGATTGTCCCGCTGCTCCACCGCCCCGCAGTTGCTCAGCGACAGCTCATGCAGCGCCTCCACCTGCTGCCAGTGCTTGAAGCACAGCCGCTGGAACTGACACACCTGCAGCGCAGGAGGGGGATGGAGGGGTGGGGTGAGGTGAGCCAGGGTTGGAGGGCAGGCGGCGGCGGTAGACCGGATCAGCAAGCGACAGCCCGCACTTTGTAAACTTGTCACAGGACAGGTGGGGGGTCTTGGCGGTATCCCAGGCGCCCTCCACAGGTCCGCTCGTACAACACCCATCCATCCAACTGGGCATCTGCCTCCTAAAAGCTCAGAAGCCCCTTCGCCCTTCCCTCCAACCCCTCTGTCCCCCCTCCCCTGACCGTTTACCCCCCCCCCCACCTAAGCTATTCCCCTCTCCAGCACTCCCTCCCTCTGCCCTACCTTCTCATAGTGTGCCGCATTCACATCGTCATCCGTCAGCGGCTCCCCCGTGTGGTCATCAATGGGGAAGCCCATGTAGTACGCGAACAAGTCCACCAGCTGACGGAACAGCGTGTTGCTGGGCGGACCCGGAGGCCGCCGGTTGGGACCCGACTGGCTGGGGCCCTCCGTCTCCCGCCGCGAGCGCACACCTCCTCTCCGCCCCCTGCCACCGCCGCCGTTGCGGCCACCACGGCCCCGTCCGCGGCCTCCCCTGCCGCGACCGCCAGCACCCCCCCGCCCACGGCCCCGGCCACCCGCCCCGCGGCCGCCTGCGGCTGCCTGGCTTCCCTCGGCAGCGGCTGCAGGCGCCGCGTCCACTGCCATCGCAGCGTCCGCTGGGGCTGCTGCCGCCGCTGCGTCGTTAGCCGCATCCTCCGCTGCTTCCTCGCCATTACCGCCCTCCTCATTCTCCTTCTCCGCCTGGTCACCCTCGCCCTCGTCCTCCTCGCCACCCTCGCTGCTGCTGCTGTCATCCCCCGCATCGCCGTCACCCAGCGAGCCCTCGCTCCCCTCCTCCTCCTCCTCTGCCCCCTCCCCGCCCTCCTCTCCCGCTCCATCGCCTCCCTCTCCCTGCTGCTCACCAGCCCTCGCCGCCGCCCTCGCCGCCTTGGCAGCCGCCGCTGCAGCCGCCTTGGCAGCCTTCGCCGCTGCCTCCGCTGCAGCAGCCGCGCCCGGCGGCGGCGGGCTGTACTTGAAGAGCTTGCTCATGCGGCACTTGACCAGCAGTGCGCGGTCGTCCAGCAGAGTGCGCACGAAGCGGCGCGTGGGCAGCTGCGAGAGCAGGTCGATCAGGAACTCCAGGAAGCGCTCGCAGTAGAGCAGCGCGCCGCGGTCCAGGGAGGGAGAGCAGCCCTCCGCGACGGGCGGCACCACCACCTGGTGGGGGTGAAAAGGAGGAGGCCATCAGACCGCATTAAGGAAACCGCAAGTTCGGGCAAGGGAGCAGGGGTAGGAGGCGGCACAGCCGGGGGTGCGGTGCAGTGTGGAACAAGGTGATGACAGAGGCTGGGTACACCGAAAGGGCGGAGGCGGGCGTGAGGAGCCGCCATGTGTTTCGGTGCTGTGCTGCCCAGGTGCGCGAGAGGGAGTTGGGGAAAAGGGGTGTGTGCTATGTCGTACGGCGTGTGCCGCCCCGTGAACGGCGCCAGCGCACAGATAGCAGCACGGCGCCTGCCTTAGGTGGGGCGGTTGGATGGGTTGCTGTGCGCTGCGAAAAGGCCGCGGCCCCGCACTGGTTGCAAGGAGCCATGGTGAGTGGCAGCGATACAAAGCCAAGGTGGAAGCAAGTGATGGGGATAGCTGTGCAACATGCATGCGTGACAAGGTGTGCCGCCCCGTGAACGGCGCCAGCGCATTGAAAGCAGCGCGGCACCTGCCTTAGGTGGAGCGGCTGGGTTGCTTTGATGTGTGCTGCGAAAAGGCCGCGGCTCCGCGTGGACAGCAAGGAGCCATGGTGAGTGGCAGCGAAGCCAAATATGTTGAAGCTGAAACAGTATCCAAGGGCCATGCATGCGTGTACTGGCGGGCTCTCGCCCCATCAGTATGGATGCAAGCATGCAACCCTTGGTAAAGCCCCACCACACGGCTCTCCCCTCCCTCCCTCCCGGCCCCTCCTCCACCCCACCTTGTCCATCACCGCCAGAAACTCCTCCAGCAGCTGCGGCAGGAAGCGCACCTCGGGCCGCTGAGGCACCGGCACGTAACCCCCGCCACCCGCACCCTCCCCTCCGCCCTTGTCGCCCGCCTTAGCCTTCTTGGCCGCTGCCTTGGCCTCCTTCTTGGCGGCTGCCTTCCAGTGCTTGGCCAGCGCCTCATGCGCATGCAGCTCCAGCTGCAGCCGCCCCGGCGACAGGGAGTGCCAGAGCGGCAGCGACACCACCCGCAGCACCTGACCGCGAACCATCTCGTCCTCCAGAGACTGCGAGGTGGGGGGTGGAAGAGCGGAGGAGCGGAAGGGAGCGGCGGAGGCAGGTGGGAATGAGAAAAGGAGTGCGCGGCCGGAGTTGCAACCGCGTGGTGTGGAGCATGCCCGCGTCCGCAGTAGCTCCCTGTGCCTTACAAAAGCACCTAGCGAATTTCGGACCCCCTGTGACGGCCCCCAGGGGACACACCTGGAAGGCACGGATCATGAAGAGCACGTAGGCGGTGCGCTCGTGCATGCGCATCGCCTCCTCGCGCCCGTCCTTCAGCGACACCACCCGCCTGAAGAAGCCGGGGAAGGCGTCCTGCGGGGAGGGAGTGCATGCGGCAGCAAAGCCCAGCAGGTATTAGGGGTGTCTGTGGGGTGTCCGTGTGCTGTGCTGGGCTGCATGCCCCGTGTCCTTCGTTACCCGCCCATCGCGCGTTACTAGAGCACCCGCGATCCCGCACCCTCTGCTCTGGCGGTCCTGTGCTGGCCTTGGCAAGCATGCACACACACCCGCACCCGTTTGTTACCCCTTCCGGAACACCCACCTCCCGCGTGTGGAAGCAGGTCCACGCCGGGATTCCCTCCCTGAACTTCTCGTTGATCATGAGCAGGATGGACATCACGTGCTCGAAGGAGGCCGTCTCCGGGTCAAAGTTTGGCCACAAGTAGTTCTCTAGGTACTGCGACACCTCCAGCATCATGACGCGCCTCAGGCTGGGGCCCCGGCTGCTGCCGCCGCCCAGCTCCGTGCGATAGATGGACTGCACGAGCTTAGGCTTGAACTCCGGCGGTTTGTCCTGAGCCCGGGCTTCGTTGGACCAGTTCCGTCTTGCCAACTTGGTGAGCTTGTCTGTGGCAATCTGTAAAGGGTAAAAAGCGGCCAGATCGGAACTATACGTGTAAAATTGGCTGCGGTGTTTGTTGAAAAGCCATGATATGCCTGGAAGCCGCTCGGCTTGGCGCCAGATCGAGCTGACACTTCTGGCTCACCTCAGCGACGGTAAGCTGTGATCCCTTCGGCACCTGCTGCCCAGCCTGCTGCTGCTGCTGTTGCATCGGCACAGGCCACCGCCCCATTCCGTGCCTTGGCGGGGGCATTACATTTGTCTGATTGCCCCAACGCGGCTGTGCCTTTGTAGGAGTCGGGCCCTGCGCCTGGAGTTCCTTTGGTGCAAACTTTGGTGCTGAGGATAGCCTTGGCTTCTTAGCTGCTGGCTCCTCTCCGCCGTCCCCGCCTTCGGCCCCCTGCTGCTGCTTCTCCTCCTGACGGTTGCCCTGTTCGGTGTCCTGTACTGGTTCGGCATGCTGCTCTTCATTAACTTCTACCATGGTTTGCGGCTCCGACTCGTTGCGGCTTTCGCCATTGTCTGCCATGCCAGTCAACGAAACTGGCGGCCGGGCTGCCGCCCTGAGCCGCGGTTTACTAGATCAACACAACAGGATTAACAAATGTTAAACTATCTACCAAAATTATTAAAAAGCCACTATCGTGGCGGTGTTGTCCGCTTTGTTCGCTTCCAGTTAACCAATGCGATAGGCAACAAAACTGTACTTAACGTTAGTGTTCATGTGCATGCAAAATGACCAGGAAGAAGTCGAAGCGCCGAGCATTAGTACGGCATCATGGTGACTTGCTTCCCTTGTCCACCATGATCTCGCTGGTCCAATGATTTGTCGTTTTCATTGTAGTTAACGAAGCTGGGATCTCACATCTAGTTGCTTAATAGTCGCCCATCGCAAAACGAATGCAGGTACATAGGCTTGCCCAGACCGCTGGGCGCACTGCCCGGATCCAGCCGTTTTCTAGCTCGAAGGTTTGCAACGTGCGCCGTAGCCGTGCCGTTACCGCGCGTGCAATGGCCTCTTACGAGCTCGACCCCGATAATGCGAGCATCCTCGTCTGCGGCGGCGGTGGCGTGGCTCTGCACGTCACACGCAAGCTTAAAGACATGGGCTCATGGGTCTGGATGATGCAGCGCACCGACGTACGTAAAGCAGAGATTGAAAAGATGATGGCCTTTGTACCCAAGGGAGATGCCCTAAACAAGGACGACGTTCAACGCGTGTATGATGGTAGGTCGGTACTTCTCGCTTCAGCGGCAACTTGCCTGGATGCCCGCTCGTGCACTGGGCCGCGATCTTGTGATGGAAAATGCCCAAAGGTTGCTTTGAGGGGCTCCAAGGGGTTTAGCAGGGTTGCGTCGTAGCATTCCCAACATTGCGCCCGTCCCGTTCTCGCTCTCATGCTGGATCCCTTTACAGTTCCTCCACAGCTTTACAAGCATAGGCCAAGAATCTCCGCAGCGTTTCCTGCGCATCTGTTCGCTGGGCACCCAGCTTGCATCTAGGACCAAAGGAGCGACCGCTGTACAGCGCATGAGCTTCATTCCATCCGCAGCTCTTCCTCCTGCCCTTTCGCCGCCAACCTATAGCCCTGCATCTTACACCCCGACCCTAACATTGCTTGGGACCGCGCATCAGCCCCCCCATCATCCCACCCACATCGGCTCGTCGCCCCACCAGCCCTCCTACTTCCATCCTTCCCTCTTCGCCTCCCTTCACCTCCCTCCCACATTCCCCCCTCTCCCGCTCTCACGGCAGGCATCGAGGAGGTGGACGCGGTGGTGTGCACCCTGGGCGGCAGCGTGGCCGACCCACGGGTCGACAGCGAGGGCAACATCAACATCATCGAGGGGGCCATCAAGAAGGGCGTCAAGAAGTTCATCCTGGTCACCAGTGTGGGCTGCGGGGACAGCAAGGAGGCGCCCGGTGAGTTGAGGAAAGGGGAAGTAAAAATAATGAAAACTGACGAGCTGGAGGGGGAGGGGGCCGTGGATTGAATGGAGGTGTACAGGAGTTGCGAGGGGCGAGGTTGCCATGATGACGAGAGGAAGGAGGATCTCCCACCTACCGGTCGCCATGCTTCCTTTCCCTTCCCTTTCCCCCTCCCCCCCCCAGGCGAGCGCGTGTACAACATCCTGAAGCCGGTGCTTGTGGAGAAGGACAAGGCGGAGCAGCACCTCAAGGTGTGTGTGGGGGGGGGGGGCGAGCTTTTAAACAAGGATTGGGGGCGGCTGTGGTGGCGGGAAAGACAGTGCCATGCTGCAAACGATGGGGGAGGGAGGAGAGGCAGGCGGCCACAGGAGCAGCACCTGCTGGGACGCAGAGCATCACGGATGCGAACGAGGTTGCGAGAGACCAAGGGGCCAACGGGGTCCCTCCCCATTTCGATCCTGGCTCTTCCTTCCTCCTTCCTTTACCCTTCCCACGCACCCCTCTCGTCTCCCCTCCCCCTCCCCCTGCCCCCAACTGCTAACCCAACTATCCAGTCTAATGCGGAGTATGTATCCCTCTCAATTCCCCCCCCCTCTCCCCCTGCCCCCAGGCCGCCGGTGCCGCCGGCAAGCTGGCCTACGTCATCATCCGCCCCGGCGGCCTGATGTCGGAGCCCGCCAGCGCCAGCGCCATCCTGACTGAGGACGCCAGCGCCAGCGGCATGATAGCGCGCGAGGACGTGGCGGACCTGGTGGTGCGGGCGCTGTTCAGCAAGAAGGCGGATGGGAAGGTGCTCACCGCCATTGACCCCGCCAAGGTGCCGGCTGCACCGCAGCGCACGCCCTTCCAGCTATAAGCACACTAGCAGCGTTTGAAGCCTTCTAACAGCTTTGGGCCCTCCAGCTTTTCAGCGCCTCTGCAGCTTGGTCGTCGAGGGTGACGGAGGGATCGTGAGACGGAGGGGCTGCTAGGATGGCTCGGCATGGTCCGGGGGTGGCATGGAGGGGGGCACAGGAGCTACTAGCATCCTTTGACTAGTTGAGGAGTGAGGATAAGGCCCCGTTTGCTGGCTGGCTGGCCTTGTACGTGATCGTCAGTGCGGCTAGCTGGGTAGTGGAGGTGGTGGTGGTGGTGAAGGGCAAGGAAAGGTCTTCCTCAGCGCGTATGTTCCGGGGATGATGGGGGAAGCGGGCAGACATGCTGACCGGCTCCGAAGCAGTTTTGTAGCACTGACCTAGCGTTGCTTTTGTGTTGTACAGTTTCTGCGCGGGTCTTTATGTTCAGTTTCGGACACTAGCGGTCTGGCTGTAAAGCCTGATCACATCGGGAGGTGGGGTGCCCTCTTGACGTTGTTTGGTTGCAACCGAAGCGTGCAGGTGCGGGCATGCACGGCGATAGCAGATGGGTGGGCCCACATCCCTGAAGCACGCCTCTGTTAAGGAAGACTGGCCGCGAGTAGGACTTGTGTGACTTGTACTCTTTCCATGTACGGTACGCCTATCATTGTTATCAGCCATCCATTTGTGAATGGATGGCTCTGTGTATAAATGGCTCTGTAAGCGGCAACAAGCAGAGAGATCGCCATGTTGCAAAGTCGCTACCTAAGCCCTGCTTTGTAGGATGTACGGCTGTTATGTACGGCAAGAGCCGCACCCTCACCCGGGCGAACGCTGCCCTTCAAGAGGTTCAAGTTTAACCCGTCCAAGCACACAAACACACAGTCAGGAGCGCTATTGTTACAAGCGCGCTATTTAACAAGGCAAGCAAAGCAAACGTTGCAATTTCCACGCCAGTTGATGTTGTCGGTCGTTGTTGTCGTCCCGCATCCCGCAACGTCGTGTCGTGGTTCCAGCCTGCTTCACTGCCGCCGCCTCCACCCCCCAATTGGTGCACACTCTTCCTCATCATCTCATGCAACGTACCTGTACCGGTAAAACCCAAGCCAAGGAGGGCCCCCGGGCTGTCGCAAAAGCTGCCAAAATTGCCCGGAAGCCCCCCCCCCGGGTTTTGGGGCGCGAGAGATACGACAAGAGGGACACATACACGCACATACAACGCACAACAAACACACACACCGCATACTCTACGTATACCGCAAGGTAAACCTTCCTCCTCCAATTCCCACACGTCTGGAATCACGTGTCCTCAAGCCAAACAGAGCCATCAACAAGGACATCCACACAGCCCCAACCCCTGATGCCTCCACCTTTACCGGTGCGTTCCCTGCCCTGACAGCCCCCCCTACCTCCTATCAAGCACTCCTCCTTCCCGCTCTCCAACCCCAGAACCCTCCAAGCCACCGCCTTTTCCTGCCACTGCCCACCTTCCCCGCTCCTCCTTCTGCCCACCTTCCCCGCTCCTCCTTCTGCTACTCCTACCATGCTCCTGCTACCTCCCGCTCCTCCTACAGCCAGCCTGCTACCCTACTGCCGCCCCCGCGCCGGCCTCGCCAGCCTCGGCCGCCCCCCCGCCTGCTGCACCTCCTTGGCAGCCCGCGCGAACGCATGCAGCAGCACCCGAGTGGCTTGCCCGAACCGCACCGATCCCCAGCTGGGCCCCGCGAGGCTCATGGAGGCCAGGGCCAGGGGGGCAGGCGCGCCTGCAGCAGCAGCGGGGGCTGCCGCCTCCTCGCCCTCGTCCTCGCCCCGAACCACCTGGTCTGCGGTTTCTAGGTAGCGGACCAGCGCGTTGTTTCGGAGCTCTTGGGCCTGAGGGGAGGGGGGGAGAATGGGGGAATGGAGGAGGGGGGAATGTGTATGGCAGGAAGGGGGCAGGTAGGACGGGAGCTTACCACGGTTTGCCTGTTACTACTATACAGTCAATTCCCAGTACATTAACGCCCATGTCCTTCCCGCACGCCTCCCCCCCGCCCGCTTCCCTACCCTGCGTATGCGCTGATCAATCTTGTACTGCACGCTTCCCGGCTCCGGATCCCAGTCAAAGTTGTACATCTCGTAAATGGCGGTGTAGTTGTCGGCGACCTTGGCCATCTCGGCACGCAGGCTGGGGTCTTCCGGAATGGGGTGGCACTGACCCAAGGGTCCGGGCGCCATGAACTTGGTGCCGTGCGGGTAGTGCAGCGGGTCCTGTGGGTGTATGGGCGGGGGGGGGGGGGGGGGAGGGGAGTTAAGGAAACGCCCTGTAATGACTACGGTTACGGCAGTCAAATCCAACAACCCGCCAAACCCGTAGAGATTGAAGGTGTGCACACGCACATACACACATACACATACACGCACCCGTATGTGTACACGGCCCCGACCCCTCTCCCCCAGCCCCCTCCAGCCCCCCTACACATCCCTGCCCCCCCTCCACCCACTCGCCCCACCCCCTGCCTCTCGGCCCCGCCCCGCCCCCCCCCCCCGCCCACCTGCATGAGGTTGACGGGCGACCCGTTCGCGTCCTGCGCCATGCGGATGGTCACCTCGCCGTACGGCTTGAAGCGCCACATGCGGGCGCGCTCCACGACCTGGCGGGCTTCCTGCACGGTGCCGCTGGGGGGAGCAGGGGGGAGGGGGGGCAGGGGATTAACATGGATGAAGATTCCGCATTAAGCTGGATTTTAGGATTATTAGGGGGGAGGGGAGGGGGAGGAGGAGGAGGGGATGTTGAGGTGGAGAAGTCAAGAGGTGTGGTGTTGTAATTTAAGGTGGAATTATAAGTGGAAATCTAAGTATGGGCCATACGTCTAAAATGGCTAGTAGCCACGTCTATGATGACACTAATGATCTAGCAATGCGACTTGAGTAGTCGATCCCGGAATGGGTGATCGGAATGGGTTACCTAATGTTGAAGGAGTCGTACAGGGCGACGCCCTATTTAAAGCTGGCTGACGCTAGTATTTCCACTACCTCTCAATCTATAAGTCTTCTTCTTCATCATCACTCAAGTTCACTACAGTCATCCAGTCAATCCTATATTAGCTTAGTAAGTAAAGCTGGAGCGACCCGGGGTCGGTGCCACTACAAGTGGTATCAGGACCCGAGGTCTGTCTTGATCACCAGGACAACATCCACTGGGCTACATCTGCCAGAAGACGCTCTGGACATACGCGCCAAGTCTGAGACGTCGACAGTACGGGTCTTCGAGTGAGCAAATTCATGGCTCAGAGGACATACGCTCACTGAGCCATGAACTTGCTCACTCGAAGAACCGTACTGGCGACGTCTCAGACTTGGCGCGTATGTCCAGAGCGTCTTCTGGCAGATGTAGCCCAGTGGATGTTGTCCTGGTGATCAAGACAGACCTACATGTGGTGAACAAGGAATGCAGGCGAGGGCAGCCTAAGGCTAGTGACACTCGCCGTTACCCACGTGTGTTGAGAAACTGGCCGTGTGTGTGTTTTGTGCACACACGGCATTCAGGCCCGCCCTCCCTCCCTCCCCGTCCCCGTCCCGCCCCCCAGCTCACAGTATCTCGGGTATGTCGCACATCTCCATCATGTCGCTGTCCGTCTCGAACCCCGTGTCCGTGTCGTCGGGCGCCAGCGGGTTACCCGGGCGGCTGTAGGTGGGGCGGCTGCCCAGCACATCCTCGTCCTCCGACACCAGCTGCTGCCACCTGGGGGGGTGGGTGGGGGTGGGCGTGGGGAGAAGAAAACCCAAGTTGGGGGTTGGGAGGAAGAGGTGGTGGAGGTGAGGTAGTAAGGCGGGGAAATTATGAACGCGTGAGGGTACGGTGGAAGAATAAGGCCGAAGAATACAGGACGTATGAAGGTATGACAGGACTGGTCTGGACTATTGAGCACGGTCAATCTTTTCTCCGTTTCTTTCCTCTTTTGGGTCGGACCGGTACCGGTAATCCGGTACGCACCACCAACAAACCAACGTCAGCCCTATCCCACACCCCTCCCTCCCTCCCTCCCCCCCTTCCCCCGCCCTCACCTCCTGACCAGCTCCTCCGCCCTCTCCACCTGCGCGCCGCTCACCCCCGCCCTGTCGTACAGCCGAGCCAGCCGCGCCGCCTCGCTCTCCCCCTCCGCCCCCCCCCAGGAGGGCCCTGCACTGCCCCCGGGGCCCGCTACCAGGTCCACGTAGTCCGACACGTCCTCAGTCTGGCGGGGGTGGGAGGGTGGGTGGGGGTTTGGGAGGGAGGGGGGTGTCAGGTTGCTTCGCAGGTGTGGTGTCCTTATTACCCTTCCTCGTGTTACCCCCTCTTTCTCCTCCCCTAACTCCCCTCCTCTTTAACCGCCCGTTGCAAGTAACCTCATAAAATCATAAACACTACCCCCCTCCCTCCCTCCCTCCTCCTCCGTCGGTGTTTCCTTGCGGCTCAGCTTATCTACCGGAAATCCCTCCTCCCCTCCCCCGCCCCTCCCCTCACCTTGACCTCCACCCCCTGCTCCCTCAGCTTGTTCTTCACCCAGCCCCGCCCCTGCGCGGAGCGGTAGTAGGTGGCCACGAAGTCCCTGTGGTGCCGCTCCTTGCCGTCGAGGTAGGTCTTCAGGTCGAGCGAGGTGAAGGGGTTCACGATGGCGCCGCCCAACACACTCTCCTTGAACGCCTCGTCCTGGAAGGGGGGGGGAAGGAAGAATACCCAATGGGGAGGGGGGCGGGTCAGAGATGTACCGGGGCCAGAAGGTTAGGGCAAGGCAATGGGGATGGAGGGAAGCAGGCTGTTAGGAAACAAAGAGGGTTAGTGGCCCCCCCCATCCCAGTCCATCCGAACACCCCCGCCCTGCTCCCCCCCCACCTCAATCTTGTCGTCCATGCCCTCCGCCACGAGCAGCTCCCTGACCCGTGGGTCGATGGGGTGCTCCGAGCTCTCCTCCGCCACCCCCCAACCGGGGCCCAGCTCGCCGTCCGTGTCAACACCCTGCAGCATCTCAATGCTGCAGGGAGGGGAGGGTGGAGGGGGGAGGGTGGATACCCAATGGGGAGGGAAGGTGTGTGGGTTAGTTGAGCCGAGCAGACTACCTTCGACAAATCTCACATACAGGCACTCAAACGGGACTTACATGAAGGGGAACACCCAAGCACATGCACCCTTCCCTTCCCAACCCCTTCCCCCACTTCACCCCAGACCTTCCCGGCTTCCTCCCACTTTACCCAACCCTTCCCCCCGCCCCCCACCTGTCGTAGTCCGTGTCTCCCCCGTGGTCCCGGTGCTCAGCCCGCACGCGGCCCGTCTCGTCCTCGAAGTAGTAGGAGGCGGGGCGGGCAGGGTGGCGGGACTGCACTCGCTCGATGATGGACACCAGCCGGTCTAGCGCCCTGGGGGGGAGAGGGTTTGGGGGGAGGAGGAGGGGGGGTTGAGGGGGTGAACGGAGACGTGTTTGGGTTTAGTTGGGGTGGTATAGGTAGCCGGACTAGGCTGGGAATGTCAAGTTAGGGAGTCTTGGTGGTGCCCAAGCCCCCCTTCCCCTCTTCCCCCCTTTCCCCCTCCCCCCGCCGTCGGGATATGGGATTGGGACTCGTTGTTTCACTTATATAATTTTCCCCCCTCCCCCCCCCCCCCGCGGCCTCACTTCTCCTTGGGGCTCATCCCCCGCCACTTGCGCAGCTTGGCGTCATGCAGGCTGTTGCGCAGTGCGATCTCGAACGGCGGATCCAGCTCGTCCTTCAACACGTTCACCGCCACCACCTCGTCCTCCCGCGCGTCGCCCAGCTTGTTGCCCCGGTACCAGGTGCGCACCTCCACCTCGCGCATGATGGCGCCTGCAGTGCGGCGGTAGGCCTCCACCGGCTCCACACCCCGCTCCAGGAGGTAGTAGTAGGGGCGCATGTTGAGCAGCATGCCGCAACTGGGGGGGGGGGGGGGGGGGGAGGGGGGGGGGAGGGAGGGGGGAAAGAAGAATCCCAAGGTGTAAGGGGAGGGAGGAGGGAGGGAGGATACCGCCGAGTTCATTGCTCCTTCCATCCGCCCTGCGCTGCGTTTTCAATTCTTTGTCTCCCTCCGTCTGTCCCTCCTACCGCCACCTGCTTTCCTCCTGTTTACCGCCCCCGGCCCCTCCCTCCCCTCAGCCGTGTCGCCGCCCCTATTCCCAGGCCCTCCGCTCCCCCTCCCCCCATTTATTTCTTGCCCCCTCCCCCCCGCCCCCCCCCCCTCACCCGTGCCGCTGCCCCGCGAAGAACTCCCCGATGTACACCTCGCCGCTGCTCTCGCTGGTGAACTGACCCAGCCCGTGCGCGTAGCCGGCCTGGAACTCGCCCTCGTACCTGGGGGGTGGGGGAGGGAGGGGAGGGGAGAGGAGGGAGGGAGGGGGGATTAGGGGATGGCGAGAGTGGTAGTGGTGGCGGTGGTGCACCATTCCTACCAGAAAAACACACGCGTACGGCCGCATGCAGCGCTCCAATCCAGGTTGAAACCCCTTCTGGTGAAACCCACCGCCCAGCCCCCACCTCCCTGCTCGTCACTTGCCTCGTCAGTTTCCTCATTTTTGCCCACCTCCCCACCACCATCACCACTCAGCCGCCCCCGTCCCCACCTGTCGCCGTATCGCGTGTCGCGCATGGAGAAGCCCGCACCCGTGCCCATACCGAACGTCATCACACCCATGCCGTGCGGGATGGACTGCTTGCTCAGACCCTCGTAGCTGCATGGGGGGAGGGAATAAAGAGGAATACCCATGGGGGAGGGGGCAGGAGGAGGAGGTAAGAGGAAGGAGAAAAGGCGAGGCGGTCAGGGAAGGGGTGAGCAGCGGCGGCATGTGACCGGTTGGGGGGGGGCTGCATGGGATGAGGACCGGCATGCAGGCTGCATATGCGGCAAGCGGACTTCCCCTCATCGTCCCCACAACTCCCTGCGACTGCCATTGCTGCTCCTGTGCGACTGTCTCAGGAGCCCTCCCACGCCCTCTTTAACGCCGCCCCACGCCCGTGTCATCTCCGGGCGCTGCTACTGCTGCTGCTGCTGTCCAGGTCAGGTCAGACTGCCCCACACCGCACTCCTTTCCCTCCATGCGCCTCCTTCTTTCCATGCGGGTGCCGACCATGGTCGTAGGAACCAGGACTCCCCTCCCTCCGCCCACCTGCCTCTTCTCACCCCTTCCCCACGTGCTCGCTCCCCTCCTCTCCTTCCCCACATCCCTCGCCCGCCCCCTCCCTCCCCCGCCCCCCTCCCCTCCCGGGCCCCCTCCCCCTCCCCCGCCCCGCCCACTCACGTGGTAAAGTCCGGATACACGTACGACGCCCACTTGAGGGGCTCCCCGGGGAAGGGTGCAAGCGGGTGGTTGCTGTGCCGCAGCGAGTACTGGGGGTTCAGCGGGTCCTCCGCCACCAGCCCCAAACCCGCGCCCACATACTCGGGAGCCCACTCGCTCTCCGTGTTATCCTCGTCCGACTCGAACTCGTCCGTCGCCCACACCGCCTCGCGCGCCTCCTCCGTGTCGACGTCGCGTGGGCGGTACGCGGTGTAGAAATCGTCCCAATCCTCGCTTTCCTCGCCTTCCTGTTGCGCGGGTGGGCCGTCGGGCATCATGGTGGGCTTGCCCTCACGGTCCCAAAGGTACATGTCCCACAGCTTTTCCAGGTTGCCGGCTTCGTAATCCGCGGACTCGAACTCATCGGTGACCCAATTGCCGCCCGCAACCGTCTTTTCGTAGTCGGTGCGCGGCTTGCGGGTGGTGGAGGAGGAGGAGGAGGCGGGGGCTGCTGCTGTTGAGGGGGATTTGGAGGCACCGGGGGCTGCTGCGGGGGCGCCGGGAGTGGCCTCAGCGTCGTCTGAGGCGGGGATGAACTCATTGTAGAATTCGGAGACCTCGGCCGGTTTGCCGCGGGGACGGGCCGACGAACGGGCTGGCTTCTTTCCTTCCTCCGCTAGCCAGACCATGTCCTCGGTATTGAGCCCATCCTCAGGCCAGCGGCGACCGTACTTTTCGATCCACCGGTCATAGAGCTTGTTTACGTCGGCCCGGATTTTCGCCTCCGGCTCATCCGCCTCTGAGTCAAAAACTTTGAAGTACAAAGAGGGCTCCGGAAACTGGGCATCGTCTGCAATGACGCTGGGGTCCTCCTTAAGAGCGTCCTGCGCCGCTGGGGCGTCCTTTCCCTTATTTGACGCCATTGATGCAATCAAGCGGAATCCAAGGTTGGGTAATTATCTAGTATTTCCTAAGGTGCAATTGAATGAAGGAAGAGTGCTCGGGACGGGGCGTAATGTCGGGTAAAAGCCGCCGCCGCTAGTTTGAGCCCTCCGAAGTAAAACTGCCCCCAAACGTTAAGGATTTACTAAAGGGGGATCGCCACCTAGTCAGCCGAAAGTAAGCAAAGTTTGTGGAGTTGCGATACACTTGCGATCAACCGTACGACATGCATCCACCAGCAATTCTTGGCAAGCAGCGCTTACCGGAGAGAGTTTCATAAAAATGCTTCGCATGTTAAGGCGTAAGCATTCTGGTACTAGGGAAAGGAATTGACCTTCGCTTTGTTTGCTGCAAGCGTGTCGTGCGAAATGACTGCTAGTGGTGGTCCGCAAATCATTTGCCATTGACCGTATTTATGCAGTAGTGTTATATCTGCTTAATGCGTAATTATGAATGAGCGATTGTCGAAAATGCTGTGGCAGGGTTGCATGTACATGGCACGGTTGCGCGGGGAACTGCCGGGGGCTCTTTACCTAGTCCGGAGCGTACAGTCATATACCAGTAGCATAACTAGCCGCAAAGCATCACGAGCAAGGGTTCAGGGGAACCGGGATAGGGAAGAGGATACCTATGGAGCAGCATGTGCTGCTTGCTTGGAGGGAAGACGGGGAGCCACACGCGATATTGGCTGAAGTTCACTGCATAGTGTGAAATAATACTGAGTAAGCTGAGCTTGGATTAGGTTATTTAATCTAGCTGCGGTTAGTTCGCGCCCGTTGGGACTGCCAGTTAGGAGTAGTATGGGGGAGAAGCCCCTTCGTCTTCCCCAATCCGGGCGTACCTGTTCCCCAAGCCCACTGTGCCACATGATTCTAAGCATTTGCAATACTTACATGTTTCCGGCAGTCTACCACAAGTAACAGGAAGACACGCAGCCACTACTAAGCTGCAAGTTGCAAGGAAACATCGGCCTTATCCTACACCAGAAGCATTTACGTACACTTACAATACATCATAACACTTAGACTCCCATCTTTGTACAATACGACAGCACGAGGTCCGTCGCAAAGCAAAGGGCGGTAGCACATCGCAGCGTATCCAGTCCTCGAAGGCGCCAATCGGGGCCACCTCTATAGAAACCAGTGGATACGATGTCTGAATAGCTTGAGCATTAATCCTCTGGCCCAGCTGGGGACTCGCCGGCGTTTACGGCCGATGGAGCCGTGGAGCAACGACAGCACCCGACGGGCGAACTCAAATAGCTATGCAGCTCGACAGGTCGATGTTTCTTTCACGAGCAGTGCTCGCATGTCAGATTCTACGGCTCGAGGGACGTTGGAGAGTATCCCAAGCCATGTTGGAATGGGAACCGACTCAAATGATGCGGAAACTCCCAATTCTCCTGAAAGACAGCTTGCGCACCAGATTTCCAGAGTAACATCACGTATGAGGCCTACAACTGCACCGTTTGCGTCTGCTCCTTCGCGCGATAGCGTGCGTGCGGAGCCGAATGTCATCGAGGCCGCCGCGGCCCGGTTATCCGATACTTCCTCCTCTGGCAAAGCACCGGTGCAGCCGCTTGGGCCGCTAGAAGTAGATTCCGTAAGAGCGAGCGAGAACCAGCTACCCGATGAAGAGAAATCTCAACCGGCAGTCATCGCCCGCATACAGGAGGTGCGTTTAATGCCGGCCAGGCCGCACAGCGGTTCCAATTCAGGCAACTCAGCATTGGGTGCCCCCAATCGTGCATCCAAACGTGCCCATTCCTCGCCGTTCCTTCTTAACCCTCCACCAACTCTACCCAACTCCTACCTGGCTTCTGTCGCATTGCAGTCGCCGCCGCCTCAAACCGCGGCCCCGACAACCACCACCAAGCTGCCTCCCGTGGGCCAACCAGCGCAAGGCCACGCCTACATGCCGCTGCCGGGCTGGGTCCCCGCACCTCTGGGTGCTGCCGTGGAGCCCCCGCCACTCCCCGTCACTGCCAGTGTGGGAGGAGCAGGAGTGCGGTTCTTCCTCCCTGAAGGCCGGCCACCATCTGCCGCAACAGGTGGGTGATTTCGAAAGTGAAGTGCAACGGGGCTAGCTTCTTGTGGTTTCTGCTGCCCTACGGTTTTGCCCTGGCTCGCCCCCTCGCCTTGGGTTTCGCTGTACGGAATGAATGGCCGTTGTCAGCTTGCTCTGCGTTCGAAGCGTGTTGTTACAGCGTTGTGTGGCATGTTGTGGGTGTCCCAATCTAAACTAAGATGTGATCTGGCATGCAATGTGGCCTCAGGCGTGCTTGCGGCGAGGCGGCGGCTAACAATGCGGCAGTCTGTGGCTCAGCGGTTGAGGACCGCCGGAGGTGAGGCCCCTGTCCGGCAGCGTTCCCCAGCGGCCGTATGACCGGGCGGGGAATTGTACACGGCATACATGGCATAGCGAATGGCCCCGGTGGCAGAAGCGTGTAGCTCCAGCCTTTTGGGGCCCTTGCGGGTCCTCCTGAGCTGCCCCCGGGCAGTCGCTACCCGGCAACGCGCTTTGCAAACACCAACGTGTCCCGCATGAGTCATGGTCAAGTGTCACCGATAGGGCAGCTGATGGCGATGCAAAAGCATGCCGTACATAGTGCATGCGAAGTACGGCATACAGCATGGGGAGAATGCATGGCAGCCTGTCTGGCTTCGCAGCTGCCCAGGACTGAAGCGCGGTGGGAACTAGCCTGCTGGTTGTGGGGTGCCCTGCAAATCTATATCCAAAGCAATAAACCAAGAGTTTAAGCGCGTTTGTCGGATCAGCAGCAGCCTTCTCGACATGGCCCCAGAGCACGCTGCGTTCCTTCCCTTGTGCTTCGGTTCAGCAACCCAACCCCGTATCCGCCCTTCGCCTTCGCCCCGCCCCGCCAACCCGCCCGCCCCGACCTCGTCCCTTCGTCCCCTCGTCCCCCCCAGACTCCGCCGACATTGCGCTGCAGCCGGGACAGTCGCTTGAGCTGCTGGCGTCCGCCGGCTCCTTCCTGCAGCCCGCACCCCGCATCAGCGAGCTAGGTAGGGGATAGGGTAGGGGCTAGGGCAGCTCGTAGGGGTCATTGCTCATTAGGCGCGAAACACACCCAGCTAGGGTCGTGGGAGCTTTGTGGGGGAAGTGCTTCCAATGGCACGGGTACTAGGTAGCACAGGCGCACCGCGGTAGGAGTGCGTGCACGTTGGGGAGTGCGCGGCGCACGCAGGATGCGTCGGCTGCTCAGTGCCATGTATGCAAGCAGGGTAGCTTACGGTAACCTGGCACGCATCCTTGCTTTGGCATGCTGTTGGGATTCAGGCCAATGCTTATTTATTATTCAGGCGTAGCCTGCTGCGGTGCAGTGTGGTGGCATGCATTTGCGGTTGTGGTCAACAACCCCAGGCAGTGTCGCGGGAGCAGCACAACAGCACAACTGCATAACAGTACAACAGCACAACAGTACAACAGTACAACAGTACAACATCACAACAGCAACATGGTTCCTGACTTCCTGTGCTGCCCAGATGTTGGCACAGATTGCACACGTTTGGAGTTGCCGGAGCAACCCTTAAAGTGCAGTTTCCACAGCAGCCCCTTGCCACACATCCCTTCCTTAACTGTGCACCCGCCTTTCCCCTGCTACTCCGGCCCCAGATGAGGACGACCACTTGACGCCAAACGGAAGCATGCTGCCTCCCAACGATTCCACATCTCCCCGGTCGGATAGCCCCGGCCCACCACCCATGCCCAGCCAGATGGCCCGGAAGCGCTCATCAATCATTGGGCTGGCTTTGCAGCCCTGGAAGAGGCGGATGCTGCACGTTATGAACCATATCTACTTCTACTGGGTGCTGGTCTTCCTCACGTTCATCATCATCTTCGAGGATGACTTTAAGAAGGCATGCTTGCCGCCAACTTTCGACCTGCCGCTTGAGATCACCATCACCGTAATCTTCGTGCTATTTTCTCTGGAAATGGGTAAGTCTGGATGCGCCCGCCTGTGTGATGGCGTATCATCGCTCGGCGAAGGGTTGACAGATGCTTGTTTTCTAGAGAGGGCTTGCTGCAAATTACCAAGACTAAGATGATCGTGAACATGAAAGGTTGCTGTTCTCAGCCCTATCTTGTCTCTTTAAATGTGTCTGCCTACTCTAACGAACTTCGGTTGCCTCAATGCCGAACGGGTAACGGTCGGCGACGATGCCTAGCCACCGAAACCACGTCAGGTTTATAGAGCCTAACGGTTTAGAGCCGAATCACGCCAACTTTCTGCTTGAGGCATACCGGACCCCTCCACCACCCATCAATGCGTATCCGCACCCTCCCTGTGGTACCCTCTGCAGCGCTATCATCTGTCCTTCGCCCGCATTACTTCCTGGGCTTTTACTTTTGGCTGGATGCGATCGGAACCTGCTCGCTGATCTACGAGGTGCCCACGGTGCGCATCAAGTTCTTCGGAGGTTCCGAGTATATCAACCTCGCCAACCGGGGTGGCTTCATCGATAATGCGGGCGACCAGCTGTACATCTCCAGTAAGGCCGGCCGAGTCGCGAGGGTAAGCCGGGGCCCTGGAGCCTGTCATTAACAACCCTTCCTAGCATCCTTGGGTGTTGGATAGTCTGCAAGCTTGGGGCGGTGAATGCCCATACCTCTCCGAGTGTTTCCCGGTGTTTCTTCCTCTCATGTGCTCGTGTGCCCTTCTCCTCCACTTACATTCCCCGGCTTTGCTCCCAAACCCCCCATGTGACTCACACGCGTCACACCTCTCCCAACCCAAACCCCGCTATCCCTCAGATCTTCCGCCTGCTGCGCATGCTTCGCCTGTACGCGCAGTATAAGCAGCACCAGCACGCCTCGCAGCAGGCCGCGTCGGGGGGCATGACCATCACGGAGTTTGAGATCCAGCAGGAGAAGACCACACGGACCCGAGTGGGCTCCAAGCTGGAAGGTAGGACGCGGTGGCTGCGGCCCATAGCGTTAAGAGCGGCTCTCCTCTGTTTACTGCAGCGGTTATTGGTTCGTGCAATACCCAGCTTCCAAATCCGATTAGGGGATTGGGGATTGGGAGACGATTCCGCACCAGCCGGACTTCCCCTTGCATTTTTCCACATCCCTGCTGCTGCCGCTGTTGCTGCCCGCTGCTTCTGCTCTCGCCTTGCGCATGCAGAGCTGACCACCCGGCG